CTTGTAGTACATCAGATCGTTTTATCTCTCATTTTAGTTAAATATTATATTCTCTTGATTGAACGCTGAGTTATTAATAGGATCCATATCAGAACCTAAAAATAAAATCTAATCTCATAATAATAATGATAATATTAATAATAATAATAATAATAATAATAATAATAATAATAATAATAATAATAATAATGAGAAAATCAGCAAGAGGCATCAGGATTCGAACCTGCACACTGGGTGCTCCCAACCACTATAATGTGATTTTTTTTTTGCAAAATAATAATACTAATAATTAGACACCATCAGAAAATAAAGGAAGTAACGATGTTTCGGTCCGTCTTGGACATTATCAATCACTAAAAAATAATATCGTCAGTAGCTTACTTTATATAATATTGCCTTACGAATATAATTTAAATACACTTGACACACATTAGGATCCAATACTGACCCTTGGGACACTCTTCTTGACATTTTTCAATATATACAATTAGGAGTATATTATATAAAAATATCAACATACGACAGATCACGAAACACTATTAAAATCTTTCGTTTTGTTAAATATATAGATTAATACGAAAATTGGGTTGTAGAATTGTTAAAATAGGTTACCAATTATCATTATACATGCAAACTTATTAGTTACTTTCAATAATTGGCTACTCCAGAACATGAGCTTGAGACGTTTGGGTGTAAAGATGACTTTCCCGCTTGTGTCAAATAAAACATTTGCAGTATAATTTATTCTCATTTTCGCGGTTTATTATGATAATTTTAATGCTATATTTGTTTCATTAATGACTTCCTCAATTCTACTTAAATACTACTTGTTACAAAAGAACTTTCATTGAAACTGGCTTCATCAATCTTTTTTAGATCAAAACAACACATGTCAATTCTTCCAACATAGATCACAGCAATAACCAAAATTTCTCAGAAAAATCATAATTAAATTACAATTTTAGCGGAAGTGATAGTCGCCCAAGCACCTTAACAGGTTGTGGGTGATAATACGTACTAGGTCACCAGAGATGGGGGCGTGGCCTGCAGTTCTGACCTTATATCCAATCCGTTCCCACCAACCATAACCTTCCCCCCCCCCCAACGATTAAAGATGTCGGGTGCCCATCATAGCAGAGGTTCCTGGTGGGTATATAAAGACTGAGGCAGTGAAGCAGGCAGCACTCTCATCTCCCTCAGCTGAATATGAACACCATGAAGGTAGGCTTCCACATGGCTGTTGGCTGACGTGATCCTGCGGCTTTCTACCAAGACAATGTCTAGTATATGACATAATGATATAATGCTATTAATCAAAAATATTTGTTAAAAGTCAAGAAAACGAAAAGTAGAAGTGTACAAATGTTTAAGTTTCTTTCAATAACAAACGATGTCCATGTGTCATGATCAGAGTTATTTTATATATTAATCTGTCATCCTACAGGTTATTGTTGTCTTGAGTCTTGTTACAGCTGCTCTGGCAGCCCCATCCAGACTCCAGGCCTTCCCCGGCCCAGTTCCTGTCCCCGGCCCAGTTCCTGCTCCATACTACCGACCAGTTCCTGCCTACAGGCCACAGCCGCTCTTCAAGGTAACAAAGAACATATCAATATTCTAAAAAAAGAGCTCCAAGTTTTCTTTGTTATATATAAGTAATCTTCACTCGTTTATGAGATTTATAGAATTATTAGTTATTGTGTTCATACACAAACATTTTTAATAGAGATATTTACAAAGTGATATATACCTTGTGGTGTACCCCACTTTATGGTATATATATACACAAAATAGTTTCTAAAGTCCTGTGAACTACCAGTAAGTCAATAAGCAGTTTGGTGGCCTTAATACCCTTCTATACGTTGATAGACCTTACTAAATTAACCTATTTACACCCACAGGTTCCTGCACGCTACAACTTCGGCTACTCCGTCAACGACGACTACTCCGGCAACAACTTCGGTCACCAGGAGACTCGTGACGGCTACGACACCAAGGGGTCGTACTCCGTGCAGCTTCCCGACGGTCGAGTGCAGCAGGTCACCTACACTGTCAATGGTGACTCCGGCTACGTGGCCGAAGTCACCTACTACGGAGAGGCCAAGTACCCTGCATACAGGCCCGCCCCGGCCTATACCCCTGTCCCAGTGTATGGTTGAGATGCTCAAAATGACCATGTAATTGACGATTAGATTATATTTATGCACTAAATAAAAGTCGTAAGAAACCCAAACTTTCTTTACCTTCCAATTACGTGTTTTATCTCTATATAATATTTTGATGGAAAAAGACCTGATGTCATCGTACTGCGGAAAATCATGAGCCGTTTAGTGGTCTGTAATTACAGACCCGTGTCGTCTAGTTACTGGCCAAATTTTCGACTCAATAATTTCACAAGAAATTATACTTTTGCGATAGAAAAACTCAGACGGTAATGATAATAGGGTATATATATATATATATATATATATATATATATATATATATATATATATATATATATATATATATATATATATATATATATATATATATATATATAATACAACTGGGACAGACATACAAATGAGAGGCAAAAATTTTGTGTACTGCGATGAAGTTAACATTTTAAGAATGAAGTTTGATTCTTTAATAACCATAAGAAGTTATGTCTTGAGCCAAGCAAGCAAAAGCAGCTAAGAAACTGACAGCCCTAAGGCACGTTTCGAATGTTCTCAACAGCAGAAGTTGTAAAACATTATGCGAATCACACGTTCTTTCAAATATTGGGAATACACCGCTCTCCTGGATAGTTACCATCATTTATTTGAATTCTGAACAAGATCAAGAACCATGCAAGAAGACTTTCTCTAGTTTTGACCTGTTCTGCTTGAACTGGGCAGTATATCAGAGGTTACAACACTAGAGTAGTTTTGATAGCCTCATCATTATGTATAATATCAATGTTCTCAGGATTCTTCACCAGGCCCGACTTCGTGTCCCACCAGAAGCTGGGATCCATAAGAGAAGGCGCTCAGTCATTGGCAACCTAAGCCTGGCAGAGCCATTCCTACGAGTATCACTCCTGGAATATGTATTCTAAACATGGTCAAACCCATATGATAAATATAATCGACCGTGAAGGCTCTGGTGTTCATGTACATATTTTGTTTGAAGGTTAACAATAAATACAATTTATTCCTGACATTAATCTAATAATGGGTTCATAATATAAATTAGTTTCTTAGGTCAGGCGTCAGAGAAGTTGATGCAGGATAACAGATTTTAGGTTGCAGTTTCATTAGGAATATTAGCATTATTACATCTCTTCATACTTTCTTCCAGATAAAGCAAAGGTTGTTTTGTAAACAAAACGTTTACAAAACACGTTTTGTAAACGTGTCAATGTAAGACCCATTTTTCAGTTCCGGTTCCTACTTGGTAGCAAACCACTGTTTACTTTGCAACCTGGGATTGTAATCTGGGAATCTAACCTGGGAATCCTACTGTAACCTGGGATTCGTCAGGTCGGGGACACGGCACCCACAGCTGTATATTCCACCTTAGGTGTGATCAGAATCTCAATATAATCTTTCAGTTCTGTCATATAATTTAATGCTAGCCTTAATCTGGCCCACAGTGAGAGTGTTAATTACTCACTTAAATTTTTATCATGTACACGATTCTTAAATATGTTATCCTCAGAGTTTTATACCAAAAATAATCTCTTAATACCATACAATGGTTTCATTAAATTGCACTTTTAGAGTTGAAGATTATTACCCATCTTGAAGTGCATCAAATCGTTTTATCTCTCATTTATAGTTAAATATTATATTCTCTTGATTGAACGCTGAGTTATTAATAAGGTCCATATCAGAACTTTAAAAATAAAACCCTAATCGTATAATAATAATAATAATAATAATAATAATAATAATAATAATAATAATAATAATAATAATAATAATAATAATAATAATAATAATAATAATAATAATAATAATAATGAGAAAATCAGCAAGAGGCATCAGGATTCGAACCTGCACACTGGGTGCTCCCAACCACTATAATGTGATTTCTTTGTGCAAAATAATAATAATTAGACACCCATCAGAAAATAAAAGGAGCAACGATGTTTCGGTCCGTCTCGGACATTATCAATAATTAAAAAATAATATCGTCAGTAGCTCACTTAATATAATATTACCTTACGAATATAATTTAAATACACTTGACACACATTAGGATCCAATACTGACCCTTGGGACACTCTTCTTGACATTTTTCATTATATACAATTAGGAGTACATTATATAAAAATATCAACATACGACAGATCACGAAACACTATTAAAATCTTTCGTTTTGTTAAATATATAGATTATTACGAAAATTGGGTTGTAGAATTGTTAAAATAGGTTACCAATTATCATTATACATGCAAACTTATTAGTTACTTTCAATAATTGGCTACTCCAGAACATGAGCTTGAGACGTTTGGGTGTAAAGATAACTTTCCCGCTTGGGTTAAATAAAACATTTGCAGTTTAATTTATTCTCATTTTCGCGGAATATTATGATAATTTTACTGTTATATTTATTTCATTAATGACTTCCTCAGTTCTACTTAGATACTACTTGTTGCAAAAGAACGTTCATTGAAACTGGCTATATCAATATTTTTGGCATTTATTTAATCCTTTTTTTTTTTTAGATCAAAACAACATATGTCAATTCTTCCAACATAGATCACAGCAATAACCAAAATTGTGCAGAAAAATCATAATTAAATTACAATTTTACCGGAAGTGATAGTCGCCCAAGCACCTTAACAGGTTGTGGGTGATAATACGTACTAGGTCACCAGAGATGGGGGCGTGGCCTGCAGTTCTGACCTCATATCCAATCCGTTCCCACCAACCATAACCTTCCCCCCCCCCCAACGATTAAAGATGTCGGGTGCCCATCATAGCAGAGGTTCCTGGTGGGTATATAAAGACTGAGGCAGTGAAGCAGGCAGCACTCTCATCTCCCTCAGCTGAATATGAACACCATGAAGGTAGGCTTCCACATGGCTGTTGGCTGACGTGATCCTGCGGCTTTCTACCAAGACAATGTCCAGTATATGATATAATGTTATTAATCAAAACTACTTTTAAAAGGTCAAGAAAACAAAAAGCAGAACTGCACAAATGTTTAAGTTTCTTTCAATAACAAACGATGTCCATGTGTCATGATCAGAGTTGTTTTATATATTAATTTGTCATCCTACAGGTTATTGTTGTCTTGAGTCTTGTTGCAGCTGCTCTGGCAGCCCCATCCAGACTCCAAGCCTTCCCCGGCCCAGTTCCTGCTCCATACTACCGACCAGTTCCTGCCTACAAGCCACTGCCACTCCTCAAGGTAACAAAGAACACATCAGAATTCTAAAAAAATGGCTGCAAGTTTTCTTTCGTGAATTTGATAAGTTTTTTTTATAAGTTTATGAGATTCGTAGAATTAACAATAGTTTTATCCAGATGTTTATATTTGTAACCATTAACAAGGAATGTGGGCACCCCTCTTCTTGGTGTAAATATGTGTTCTTGTTTAGTGTTCACTTTGTTCAGTACTATAGTAAACATTTTGCTATTCATTAGGCAATTGCAGTGGTTTTGATAATATTCCAGAGGTTGACTGGCCTTAAGGCCAACATTAAATCAACTTATTTACACCCACAGGTTCCTGCACGCTACAACTTCGGCTACTCCGTCAACGACGACTACTCCGGCAACAACTTCGGTCACCAGGAGACTCGTGACGGCTACGACACCAAGGGGTCGTACTCCGTGCAGCTTCCCGACGGTCGTGTGCAGCAGGTCACCTACACTGTCAATGGTGACTCTGGCTACGTGGCCGAAGTCACCTACTACGGAGAGGCCAAGTACCCTGCATACAGGCCTGCCCCGGCCTATACCCCCGTCCCAGCCTACAGACCCACACCTCTGTATGGCTGAGATACAGTGTAATTGATCAAAAGATGCTTATACACCGCAATAAAAGTGTAACAATTTTAAACTTGTTTAACTTAACAGAAAGTTGCATTAAGTTTATATCACATGTTTAGAGACGCTAGTGATTCTCTTCTCCGGGCTGATATATAATAATTATATCATCATAGTAGCAATCCAGTGAGGAATGGTCATCGAGAGAGCAATATCAGGTCATCTAGAGAATAATGTCAGCTACGTAATCTAGAGAACGGTGTGAATGATCATGTAGAATACTTAGTAAATGCTTTATAATGAAAACTCTGTGAAGAGGTAAGATAATTATCAGGAGAAAGTACTAATCCTGTATGACTATATAGCACTTGGAAGAGATATATACTAAATGCTGGAGAGAGCATGTTAATTATCTAGAGAAAGCACTTAGCTACTATGATTATGCAGCACTTGGAAGGGATATGAGGAAGAACTAAGCCTTATATTCTATATAGTGACTATATAGCTCAGCACTTGGAAGGTCGATCCCCGGACCATCGGGATCGAATGCCAACCCTGCAAAAAATAAGGTCTTCACTCCACTAAAACATGCCAGGATTCATCAACATAAACTCAACCACTTACGAAGCTCATACAAATTTACGTAAGCATATCAGCTTTGTTTACATCTATTAAATTGTTTAAGAGCTTCAAAACTTCGCACTCCAGTATTGTTATTGCAACCCATACTCCAGCCAGCACACTAAGTCAAATACTGACTTAGTTTTAACTAAGTGCTGTTTTTTACTTATTCAGCAAACGAGCGTCTGACAGGATGAATCTCCCATACAGTATAATTACAAACTTTGTCTGAAATGTAAATTAATAATATATATTGAGTTTATGTATAGTTAGGTCTAGGTTCGGTTAGGTAAGGTGTTTTGGTTACGTTGATTTACGGAGTGTTTGCACTACAAGCTAAAGGTGAACGAAACACGTTTCTAGTCATTGCCTCGAACATGTCTAGGTGGACTATAAGTCCACCTAGACATGTAGAGTTTTTTTCGACATGTAGAGTTTTTGTTAAGTCAGTATTTGACTTATAATTTGTGAACCAAGGAGCCCTTTGTTTTGATAATGTTTTTTTAATAATACACAAACAACCTTGTAGTGCTTCGGGACTCATAAACTGTTAAATAAATTTAAACAAAGCCACCACGATTGAAGAAAGGTGAACAGGTTTCGTAATGAGTTGCGTAAATGCTTGATGAATCCTGGCTCTGGCAAAGTGGTTGAGTAGAAAGTCCGAGAAGAGAGTCGCAGAAAGAAAAACAACCTACGAACATAAATACCATTAAAACATCAGCAGCCAGCGGACTCAAGCAGCTGCTGCCATCTTGGGTCAGATATTACCAATTGTAAAGACGTTGAATCGTGAACATTTTGTCATGGTGACCAAAATTATAGCAATCACATATACTATCCTCACGACAAGTTCTTGATAAAACATGAGGGCTGGCCAGGGAACATGAGGAGTGAACAGGGAATTTGAGGAGTAGTCAGGGAACATGAGGGAAGAGCTTGGAACAAGCAAGGCGAGCAGGGAACATGATAAATGGCCATAGAAAATGATTGGTGTTGGGGGAACACAAATGGGTGCTCGGGGAACATGAAGGGTAGAGGGGGAACATGAGGAGTGGCGGGGAACATGAGGGGTGCAAATGGAAAAATTAGAAATATATTAATTCAACTCACTATATGATATATATACAGTAAAATCAGATGTAGACAGCACTGCTAACATGGCCAAGTCGGATGTGTCTTTGCGACATACATAGGTGATACTATTTTAAAATTTTGAGCTTGGATTACTATCTTTTTGGTATATAGATGCATTGAAATCTCTGGCAGTGTGGGTTATAAGTGTATTGACGATGTTTAGTAAAAAAAAGTGCTTGGATTACTATCTTCTTGGCTTAGTGGTGCATTGAAATCTCTTGCGGTTGATGTTGGACTGCGACTATCTACTTAATGATTGTGAATAAAGGAGATCTGATGGTAGATATATGACTGTATAACTCCATACGACTCAAGCATTAAAGGAACTGCTGATTGTGGCCCCATATATATATATATATATATATATATATATATATATATATATATATATATATATATATATATATATATATATATATATATATATATATATATATATATATATATATATATATATATATATATATATGTGTGTGTGTGTGTATTCACCTAGTTGTGCTTGCGGGGGTTGAGCTCTGCTCTTTCGGCCCGCCTCTCAACTGTTACTAACTACTATTTTTTATTTTTTGTTTATTTTCCCACACACACACACACACACACACACACACTCCCCCCCCCCCCCAGGAAACAGCCCGTGACAGCTGACTAACTCCCAGGTACCTATTTAATTCTAGGTAACAGGGGCATCAGGGTGAAAGAAACTCTGCCCATCGTTTTTTTGCCGGCGCCGGGAATCGAACCCGGGCCACAGGATCACGTGTATAGCGTGCTATCCACACAGCCACCGGCGCCGGTAGGATAGGTGTGTGTGTGTGGGTGTATGTGAATATAAGTTGATTTGTAATTATTTTAGAATCAGCTTCTCAGAACAAAAAGTTCCAAGTAGCACGGCAATTATGAGCTCATAGTGGATTTACCTAGCACAGAAGCGGGACACTGTATGTGACTGTATGAGCACTAGATACAAGTTTTTGCGCTACCGGATATATAGCCAGGGATGAGGTAAAGGTGAAGCACCTCGCTTATGATGCAATAAGCCCATTGCAGCTTAACACTCCTGTTTCCAAGATGGTTGGGACAATATATTGTATGTTTAGTTGTGTTCTCGTAGATAGCGGAGTGTAATTTGGTGTTAGTTGGCTGATGATAATTGGCTTGGTTTGCTTCTTGTATAATACCTCTTCAATGTCCAGTCTTCTATTGTACCTGAATTTATCAATTATTTTGGTGCAGTTTGTCAGACTATCTCTAATGACAATCCATTCACTAGGATCATCACAGCCTCGAACAGGGAGCCCGGAAAGTAAATACAGTCTCTCTACCGAACATACTATGAGTACTCACAATAACGAATGATATTAGAGGAGCCTAAAAAAAGCAACACCCAACTAAACCTTTAAGTCTTTTTTTTTTCCTTTATTCATTTGAGAAAATTATCATTGACAAAATCATTAAGATCAAAACTCACGCATATTTGTATTTTACTCAATACACATACTTTTGCATTCACTTTTCGTGGATACAGAGCGAGTTATCCATAGACAGGGGCTGGCGTGTAGGATGGAGCAGAATCGTAGGATGGAGTAGGATGGTAGGATGGAGCTGGCTTGTAGGATGGAGCAGGATGGTAGGATGGTTGGTAGTGAGGGTACTGGGCCTCTCCCTGGTAAGTGACCTTGGCCACGTAGCCGGAGTCACCATTGACAGTGTAGGTCACCTGCTGCAGACGACCGTCGGGGAGCTGCACGTAGTACGACCCCTGGGTGTTGTAGCCGTCACGACCCTCCTGGTGGCCAAAGTCGTTACCGGAATAGTCGTCCTTCACGGCGTAATCAAAATCGTACTTAGGTGCAGTCTGTTGAAGATACATTTGTTATTTAAAGAGGATGTGTGTCTGCATCAGCTTACTTTACAAAAACTTTTATATTTTTGAATATTAACAATTTAATATATACAAAGCAAAATTGTTATTACATAGCTTCTGAAACTGTTACAGGTTACTCACATCATAGGCTGGAGCTGGATGGTAGGATGGAGCTGGGTGGTAGGATGGAGCTGGGTGGTAGGATGGAGCTGGGTGGTAGGATGGAGTCGGGTGGTAGGATGGCGCTGGGGTGTATGATGGAGTGGGGGTGTAGGTCGGAGCGGGGGAGTAACCATAGTGGGGCGGGACACCCACCACCACACCCACCATGGCTAGAGCAACAATGACCTGTGTAGAGGAACAACAAATGTAAAGATCAATGAATTATGATTACCATGTTGAGAATAACATGGCCACTTATATCTGGAGGTATCGATGCAAGAATATGACAATATTTTCAGCATAATGTTCTTTTTCAATGATACAATCACTTAAAAATTTGCATCACAATGTGATGTGATAAAAAACGGATGATTGATACCATAACCGAGTAATATTGAATCCCTTTCTAATGTATAAACAGTAAAGTAACTTGTGTTAGAATATTTTATGATAATATTTGTCTCATATATATTCTAATATCAATGTCGAGCTATTAAACTGGTATTAATGGTTATGATAAATCACACAAGAATATTAGCTTCTTATCTGACGCTGTACTTAAATTTAAATCGATGAAGAAATACTAAAGCAACGCACTGTAAATATATATATAAAACTATATCACAGGTTAGGAAAATTAAAGTATTAAACTATAGAAGGAAACAAGGATGTTGTAGGTAAGTCACCTTCATGTTGGTGGAGTGAGAGTACCAGTGTTGATGTTGACCAGAGCTCCAGACTTATATACCGAGCCTCTCCCAAGGTGGAGGGTGATGGGGCGTGTATAAGAGGGGGTGAGGGGGGGATGGGGCGTGTATTAGAAGGGAATGGGCGTGTCAGGCTGGTCACACTGACCACGCCCACTTTCCGAAAGATCCAACCTTGCATTTTGCCGTAAAATGTTACTGTACTCCAGAGTTATTGTGGTTTTGATATTATGTAACATGTCGATATGAAGGAATAGTGCTTTACAGACATATTTAAACAAAATAACTTTATGGTAGTTAATAATATATCTGTTCATTTTCTATATACTTCCACGTTTCTCCTCGTATTCCAATATTTTTCCTTATATTTCCCATTTTTTTCATTTATATTTTCATATATTTCCTTTATACTTCCAAGTTTTTCCATATTTTTTTCACATTTCCACATTTTTCTCACATTTCCATATTTTCCCTTCATAATTTCATATCTTTCCTCTTGCTTCTTTATTTTTCTTAATGCTATCATGTTTTTCTTAATACTTGGATATTTTTCCCATACCATGAATAACACTACATCTCACTATATTTGTGAGATAGTGTTGTACAAAATAATCACAAAATCACGTGATTCAGTTATGTGTAAGTCCCCACATATGTAAAATTAGACTAAATTAATGAGGGAGCCCTCGTGATTCAACATATTTTCAAGGAAAATAGAATACAAAGTGAATGAATGTGTGGAAAGTAATGTTCTGTTAAACTCATTTTTAGTGCATTTTTGTTTTATTTTAATTACAAAATCTAAAACATGTTTTATGGGAATTTTATTATCCAAGTTTAGGGAGTTTTATGACATAATATTTGCAGCTGGTGCCATTTAGGCACAGTAAATGATACCATCAACAGCAACCAATAAGAAGGGTTGTTGTGCTGAAGGATGCTTTTCTACGCTCACATTTTATTGGTGGAAAATTCAGTGTTGACAATTATTACAAAAGCTATACACAGGAAGGCATCAGTTGCAAGTTCCCCACACATATCTCGGATGTTCAGTGTAGCAACCATGCAAATGACGTGCTATTTAAACTCGAATCTATATGAAATTCCACTAACTGTCAGCTATGCACAAATTATTTAATTACATTTTCATAATTGCTATATTTTTTATTTATAATTTGTGCAATTTGGTTTTCAATATAAATATACATATATCACAAAGATCTCTATGGATGTGTACTTATCTAGTTGAACTTGCCTAGTTGTGCTTGACGGGGTTGAGCTCTGGCTCTTCGGTCCCGCCTCTAAACTGTCAATCAAGTAATGTACAGGTTCCTGAGCCCACTAGGCTCTATCATATCTACAATTGAAGCTGTGTATGGAGTCAGCCTCCACCACATCACTTCCTAATGCATTCCATTTGTCTACTACTCTGACACTGAAAAAATCTTTCTAACGTCTCTGTGGCTCATTTGGGCACTCAATTTCCACCTATGTCCCCTAGTGTGTGTGCTCCTTGTGTTAAATAGTCTGTCTTTATCTACCCTATCAATTCCTCTGAGAATCTTGTATGTGGTGATCATGTCCCCTCTAACTCTTCTGTCAAAATGTTCCGTTCATATGATGCCTGTGTTACCTAGCAGTAAACAGGTACCTGGGAGTTAGACAGCTGCTAAGGGCTGCTTCCTGGGGGTGTGTAACAAAAAGGAGGCCTGGTCGAGGACCGGGCCGCGGGGACGCTAAGACCCGAAATCATCTCAAGATAACTATTTAGTCTTTCCATTTCATTACAATGTTTCAACAACGTGATATTTTTGCAGATATACACACGGTAAGGGAACATGACTATACCAAAATTACATGCGAGAGTTGAACATATAAGCGTGGGTTAACCTCACGGCATTGCCCCTGCTCTAGGGAAGGAATACACCATAATCGTTGTCAACATCGAAGTATATGGTCAGGTGAAGTAAGTAATAGTTACCGATGCAGACGATGAGTCACAATAACGCGGTGAAGATATGATGACTCATATCTTCTCGACTTGATAATGGTCCAGAACGAACAGAAACCTCATCGTTTTTATATCTTGTGATGTGTGGTTTGGTCATCAATAGTTACCAAACATGAGAGTGGAAGCTCCCCCTCTGGATCAATATATTACTACCAATGGTATGCCTCTGATAATTATTTGATGAATCATTCCAAATGAGTCTTTGCAAGTAAATAGATAAGTACGAAACCGAGAAAACTACTAGGTATATAAGTTCGCCAAACATGAGGGGGAAAGTGATAGAGCACCATAATCCATGCTTACTCTTGTCCAAAGGAGTTTGACACCCAAGCCCTAAGGGATCAAGGACTTCAAAAATACCAGGGCTTTAACCATTTGCATTAAAACAACATCCATATATGTCAATATCTAAGGCAATATTTGTATATTTTCTACGGAATTGGTTATTATTCTAAATCCGTATTTCGCCAAAGCGTCTGTATGTTATACGTCTGCAATACTTTTAAGTGTATTACTGAATTATATTTCTTTTGTTTTGCTTTTCGTGGCCAATATTATGGAAGATACAATTGTATATGGGCCATACACGCGAAAATAAACATCTCGTTTTACTCGTACATTTATTACATTTCACTTCTCGTGAATGCACTCTACACTTATTCATAGACAGGAGCAGGAGTGTAGGATGGAGCAGGATGATAGGATGGAGCAGGATGATAGGATGGAGTAGGATGGTAGGATGGAGCTGGATGATATGATGGAGCAGGGTGGTAGGATGGAGCTGGCTTGTAGGATGGAGCAGGATGGTAGGATGGAGCTGGCTTGTAGGATGGAGCAGGATGGTAGGATGGTTGGTAGTGAGGGTACTGGGCCTCTCCCTGGTAAGTGACCTCGGCCACAAAGCCGGAGTCACCATTGACAGTGTAGGTCACCTGCTGCAGACGACCGTCGGGGAGCTGCACGTAGTACGACCCCTGGGTGTTGTAGCCGTCACGACCCTCCTGGTGGCCAAAGTCGTTGCCGGAGTAGTCGTCCTTCACGGCGTAATCAAAGTCGTACTTGGGTGCAGTCTGTTGAAGATACATTTATGTTATTTACAGAGGATGTGTCTGTATTAACTTTCTTTACAACTATTTATATATTTCTGAATACTAACAATTTAATATATACAAAACAGTATAATTATTAAATAGCCTCTGAAACTGTCACAGATAACTCACATCATAGGCTGGAGCTGGATGGTAGGATGGAGTCGGGTGGTAGGATGGAGCTGGGTGGTAGAATGGAGCTGGGGTGTAGGATGGAGTGGGGGTGTAGGTCGGGGCGGGGGAGTAACCATAGTGGGGCGGGACACCCACCACCACACCCACCATGGCTAGAGCAACAACGACCTGTGTAGAGGAACACCAAACAATTGTCAGTATACGATGAAGAACACAATGTTGTAATCCTTTTGGTGTCTCTACGATGTTCACTAATGACCTGATTAGCATGTGATCCAAATCTAATGGGGACGGAACAATCATTCATGAAAATAATTTTTTTATGTGAAATAATGATGAAGAGAATACCCACGTTTGTCTAGATCTTATTTATATATCTGTACCCAATGTTGTAATGATGTAATAAATTACATACATAAACTGATTTCAAAGTTTCAATAAATATACATCAATAAATTATTATTTTCTGTCATTTCCATGAAGCAACTTTCCATCAATACCTTAAGTTACTAAACACAAATAGTGCTTGAGTCAAATTACAATGTTGTCATTGTACCATGAATGAAATATTAGAGTAATGGAGATTTCAAACTATAGGATGAAGCAAGGCTGGTGTGTGTAAGTCACCTTCATGTTGGTGGTGTGAGAGTACCAGTGTTGATGTTGACCAGAACTCCAGACTTATATACCGAGCCTCTCCCAAGGTGGGGGTGAGGAAGGGGGGGTGTATATAATGACAGAGTGGGCGTGTCTTGCCTGGTGGTCACAGGTATACAACGCTCTCTTCCTAAGAACTTTAACCTTGCAATCTACCAACAAATATATTCGAAATTCGACCGTGTCCACAGTATTTATTATATCATCTATTTTTTTTTACCGAATTCGATATTTCTTTAATAAATATATAAATCTCTGTCAATCTACACTAAGTAATATACAAAATTGAGTTATATATTATATGATAACGAACTTAATAATGCATCCAGTTGACTGAACATAGTGTAAATATATAGACATAATTTGACAGAATACACTATATACTCAAATTTTAACAATGCTCAAATTTCCTTCACATAATTGTGTACACCTGACATACACTTAAACCCGCCTGACTCCATACTTCTCGTGTCTTGAAACTCATACTCGTTGGTTTAGAAGTAAACTTGCAGGACTCCATTGCCACGTGCACATGTATATAGAGTAGAATGGGTCCAAGCACTGCGCCTTGCGGTGCCCCACTTGTCACTGCCTTTCACTTGGACTTCTCCCTCCTCACACACAGAGATCACACTAACGTGATGCATCAAATGAACAAATCCACAAGGGCCGTGACGAGGATTCAAACCTGCGTCCGGGAGCATCCCAGACACTGCCTTAATCGACTGAGCTACGACCTTTTAACCCTGTCGTAGCTCAGTCGATTAAGGCAGTGTCTGGGATGCTCTTGGACGCAGGTTCGAATCCTTGTCACGGCCCTTGTGGATTTGTTCTCCCTCCTTGCAGTTACTATCTTCTGTCACGAATCAACTCGCACATTAGACAAAACTTACCTAATTGACAATGGCAAATTTTCCAGTTGTATAAGAGCGTTTCCTGTGGGACAAAGTCAAGGACTTTTAGCTGTCCAGGAAGATGCAGTTTACCAATTCTTCTCTCTGCTACTCCAGTTCCGTCACCTTGTTTTCCTTTACATCATTAATTATGTATACACAATTTTTGTGCTAAATATCAGTCATTATTTGAAAATATATTACAGAGGAAGAGCAATTCATTACACCAACAAATCTATTTAATAATATTGAACCCGTGGATATTATTTACATCGCGAATATGTGCCATCATAGAACCTACGAAGTGGGCGTGATCTGTGACCACCAGATATGACACGCCCCTCCCTCACCTCCACTTTGGGAGAGGCTCGGTATATAAGTCTGGGGATCTGGTCAACAGCAACACTGGTACTCTCACACCACCAACATGAAGGTGATCTACCCACAAAAGCCATGTTTTCTTCTGTAGTGTAGTGTTGCTTGTTGTTTTAGATTCAGCTCATTGGAACAAAAAGTTCCAAGTAGCATGGGCTATGGTGAGCCCGTAGTGGACTTGTAGTGTAGTTGTTAAGTAGTTATTTTGTTTATACAAAGCTTATTTATATTGATATCTTGTAGTTTAGGAATGTAAAATAATTGTTTGTCTTTGTTGTTGATTTAGGTCTATCTAAAAATAAGACAAATTAATATTTGCAATGTATAACAATTATTACAAGTGTTAAAAATCAAGATTTTATTATAAATTAATTGATTACAAGTCAGAAAACGTGATTTTTCACAAGCCTGTCAAACATTTACACAATTCAACAATTGATTTAATTTTAATTTTGTCAAAATATAATTAATCTGTCACTAATGAAAATTATTTAAAGATTAGACTTTGATGAGAGATAAATTAATCCCTTGAATCAAAAAATATAAAAACAACAATATTCTTGAATGTTTAACTCCGGTTCTCGTTGAGCTAAGTATATGTTAATCAAGTTAATCTGTTAACAACAATCAATAATCCTATATCTGTCGTTCCTCTACACAGGTCGTCGTTGCTCTAGCCATGGTGGGTGTAGTGGTGGGTGTCCCGCCCCACTACGGTTACTCCCCCGCCCCGACCTACACGCCCACTCCATCCTACACCCCAACTCCCTCCTACCACCCAGCTCCATCCTATCACCCGGCTCCATCCTACAGACCAGCTCCATCCTACCACCCGGCTCCATCCTATGATGTGAGTTACTGAACGGTCTAAGAGTTGGTCTAAAAATATTTCAGCTGCAGATATATTTAATGATACAAGTGACGCTTATAAATTTAGATGGAAAGTACTCGTATTTGGGTTTACTAATAAAGACTGTCGATGATTCCACAGGCTCCTCCTAAGTACGACTTTAATTACGCCGTGAAGGACGACTACTCCGGCAACGACTTTGGCCACCAGGAGGGTCGTGACGGCTACAACACCCAGGGGTCGTACTACGTGCAGCTCCCCGACGGTCGTCTGCAGCAGGTGACCTACACTGTCAATGGTGACTCCGGCTTTGTGGCTGAGGTCACCTACCAGGGAGAGGCCCAGTACCCTCACTATCAACCATCCTACCATCCTGCTCCATCCTATAAGCCAGCTCCATCCTACAAGCCAGCTCCATCCTACAAGCCAGCTCCATCCTATCACCCTGCTCCATCTTACACTCCTGTTCCTGTCTATGAATAACTACGCAAAGTGTATTATCCGTGAGAACTGAAAACTAATAAACTTTACGATCAAAACAAAATGTTCTTATTTTTATTATTTTATCCAGATATAATGTTTTAGTTGATGCATTATTAAATAGCTTTCTTATATACACATAATATTGATTTAGAAACATAATATTAAAGGGTATTATACAAAATACGGACACAGATGATACCCCAGCCACATATATATACATACACACCTAAATATATTTACAATGCCTGCGTGCAATGCCTACACTTTGAGAGAAAATTGTTATTGATCTGCTCAATCAAAAGTCCCTGACCTTGAAGGAATTTGGGTGCAAGCCTTTGTAAGAAAGATTCAGGTGTGTGTTATGCTGCTCATATAGGTGTGCAGGTGTGGGTTATGCTGCTCATATAGGTGTACAGGTGTGAGTTATGCTGCTTATATAGGTGACCAGATGTGGGTTATGCTGCTCATTTAGGTGTGCAGGTGTGTGGTTATGGTGCTCATATAGGTGTACAGGTGTGGGTTATGCTGCTCATATAGGTGTGCAGGTGTGGGTTATGGTGCTCATATAGGTGTGCAGGTGTGAGTTATGGTGCTCATATAGGTGTGCAGGTGTGGGTTATGGTGCTCATATAGGTGTACAGGTGTGGGTTATGGTGCTCATATAGGTGTACAGGTGTGGGTTATGGTGCTCATATAGGTGTACAGGTGTGGGTTATGGTGCTCATATAGGTGTACAGGTGTGGGTTATGCTGCTCATATAGGTGTACAGGTGTGGGTTATGGTGCTCATATAGGTGAGCAGGTGTGGGTTATGGTGCTCATATAGGTGAGCAGGTGTGGGTTATGGTGCTCATATAGGTGACCAGGTGTAGGTTATGGTGCTCATATAGGTGTACAGGTGTGGGTTATGGTGCTCATATAGGTGAGCAGGTGTGGGTTATGGTGCTCATATAGGTGTACAGGTGTGGGTTATGGTGCTCATATAGGTTTACAGAATGTGGGTTTTGCTTATCAGTAATGTCTTTAAAATTGCAACGTCACTAATAAAGTGAACATGCAATAATATTTTTGTCTTCTTTCTTGTGAGGTTTGCTTCAATTGACACTTAAATCAAACCAATAGAGTTACAAATTTTTTGCAAATCAATAAACCAGATGTAAATAAAAACCCAAGTTATAAATAGACACCCAAATATAATTATAAATTGACCATTAATTTATGTCTTGAGGACAAACTTTTATGTTTCTCCAAAAAATTATCAACCTTCCTAAGTCCACCGATTTGCATTCTCAATTTATTGGTGTAGATACATTGAGCATTATAAGATTTTGGCTATGTTAAGAACAAAAGTATATTTGCGGGTTAGTCTGTAAGCAATAATTGCGGTCTTAACCCTATTGAGCTTGATTGGTCTTAAGCCCAACACCAGACTTGCTGATTGATCAATATGGTAGTACCACATTATATATACATCTTGTATTACATTAATATCGGTTCACTATTCGCAGTAATATTTGCGTCTAAACCTGAGGCGCATGTGGACCGAGTTACTCCGATAATTTGTCATTTATCCATACGATAAATTAATGTTTTGACTCACATGTAGATCTTCGTGGCTTCACTTATCTCGTATATTCTTCTCGTCACAATTCTTGATAGGGAAATAGATGGGTGTTCTGAGGCGTTTCTGTGTAAACTAGATTAACTAACCTTCAAGGCTTCGACCATCAATTCATGAAATAATTTGTCTTCAAACCTTCACAGTTATTCTCCGTTAAAATTCCAAGCACCATATTATGCATTTATCAATTGAATATTTGGAAAATTATTGTTTAATGTTATTAGCAACTGGACATTTATATTAAGTCTAGTTTTACTCACGTGATATTGAATAACATAGTTAGGGATGCCAGGGGAAACATTGTTACATAATTAAAAAAATTATTATTTAACATTTTATTACCATTCATAAATTTTCTCATTATTATCCTTACTAATATTTCAATAATAACCGTCAAGTACCCACAATTTTCCCCATAATGTCCAGTAGTAAAATCCCTCATAAGACAAAGACAACAGTAAACATCATTGCATTTTACGGATCTGTAATTGATGTTATCAGTGACGATGCAGTTTAAGAAATAGATACGATAACGACATAAAAACTATTGTATCTTAGAAGGATCCCAAAAGAATCAACCCTCTGACTCACGTAACTAAATATTTATACACTAACACTTAGAATGCAGACGATGAGTCCCAATAACGTGGTTGAAGATATGGCGACGAAACCACGCACCAGAAGATAAGGAGGCGACGACGACGTTTCGGTCCATCCTGAGCTCTTTTGAAGTCGATTGTGATAATGGTCCTCATTGGCTTGATAATGGTCCATTACGGACCGAAACGTCGTTGTCTCCTCATCTTCTGGTGTGTGTGGTTTAGTCTTTTTTACATATAGATTATACACCCAGGATACATTACTGGTGAAATGAAGACAATTGTCCAAATATGTCTGTCTTGCTTCTCTGGTAAATACCTGACCTGCTTATATGAATATTATTTTTAAAATAAAGCCGCGATTTTCTTCTCTTATGTTAGCTACATAACTCGTACCTTCATGGCCTAAGAAACCGTATTTACACCGTCCTACAAGGTCGACGACTTGGGTTAGAGATAATTACACATGTATTCTTGGAAATGTGTCCAATGTATGATATGTTCAGGTATGTATGAGTATGGGAATGTTTTATAGCCACGGTTATTATGTATTATTAGTATTTCGAATACAATTTCTGTGCAATATGGTTCTAAAATAATTATGTGTATTTAAGAATGCCATTTATGTAGCCATAATAAATAGGTGAATCCGGTCTAAAACAATAAAAATGTAATCTTGCTTTACTTAATAAATACATTAGATTTCACTTCTCGTGAATGCAGTTTACAGTTATCCATAGACAGGAGCAGGAGTATAGGACGGAGCAGGATGGTAAGATGGAGCTGGCTTGTAGGATGGAGCTGGCTTGTAGGATGGAGTCGGATGATAGGATGGAGTTGGCTTGTAAGATGGAGCAGGATGGTAGGATGGTTGATAGTGAGGGTACTGGGCCTCTCCCTGGTAAGTGACCTTGGCCACGTAGCCGGAGTCACCATTGACAGTGTAGGTCACCTGCTGCAGACGACCGTCGGGGAGCTGCACGTAGTACGACCCCTGGGTGTTGTAGCCGTCACGACCCTCCTGGTGGCCAAAGTCGTTACCAGAGTAGTCGTCCTTCACGGCGTAATCAAAGTCGTACTTGGGTGCAGTCTGTTGAAGATGCATTTATGTTATTTTAAGAGGATGTGACTGTATCAACTTCTTGTAAATATTTTTATATTTCTGAATATTAGTTATTTAATATATATAAAGCAACAAACTTATTAAATAACCTCAGAGACTGTCACAGGTAACTCACATCATAGGCTGGAGCTGCATGGTAGGATGGAGCTGGGCGGTAGGATGGAGCCGGGTGGTAGGATGGAGCTGGGTGGTAGGATGGAGCTGGGGTGTAGGATGGAGTGGGCGTGTAGGTCGGGGCGGGGGAGTAACCATAGTGGGGCGGGACACCCACCACCACACCCACCATGGCTAGAGCAACAACGACCTGTGTAGAGGAACAATAGATATATTATTATTGATTGTTGTTATCACTTTGACATGGCAATAAAGAGTCAATATCACCCAGATTAATACATGCTACAGCTTTCTGAATACCTGAGGTAATTAATACGAAAAAAATAATTTGTTTTGAAAATTATTAGTAAAACAAATACTTTATTTTCGCAAAGTTCTAGTCTGTATAGAAACTTGCAATTGGCTCCATTGTTACAAAATATAGTTATTTGCTAGATTTGTGGACTAAAAATATTCTCTGACAACATATTAGTTTAGATCAGTTCCTCGAGTGTTTAAACGCTCGTAATACTTGTTGTGAATCAGACGCAGTTATTTTATTTACCTTCCGTTGAAATATAACTAATAACAAGCATATATATTTATGTTATTTTCTTATATGATAAACTATCAACATTCAAAAGCTATTTTCCGTGAACTGAAAACAATAAATATTGAAACCAATACACCAGAGAAGGAAGCAAAGCTGGTGTGGGTAAGTCACCTTCATGTTGGTGGTGTGAGAGTACCAGTGTTGATGTTGACCAGAGCTCCAGACTTATATACCGAGCCTCTCCCAAGGTGGAGGTGAGGAAGGGAGGGGGATGTGTATAAGGACGGAGTGGGCGTGTCTTGCCTGGTGGTCACAGGTATTCAACGCTCTCTTCCCAAGGGCGTTAACCTTGCAATCTATCAACAAACATTAGTAACTTGATCATATCCATACTATTTATTGAGGCGTTTAATGCAACAATTTTATGTGTTTTTAACGAATTCCATTTTTTGCCAGTTCACGGTAAATATTTTATAAATTTGTTCATTACATTGATAGATAATGTACTAAAAAGGTACATGTACTTCATAAAACTGAATATATATATATATATATATATATATATATATATATATATATATATATATATATATATATATATATATATATATATATATATATATATATATATATATATATATATATATATATATATATATATATATATATATATATATATATATATATATATATATATATATATATATATATATATATATATATATATGAACAAGCCTGAATGGTCCCCAGGACTATATGCGAATGAAAACTCACACCCCAGAAGTGACTCGAACCCATACTCCCAGAAGCAACGCAACTGGTAACTACAGGGCGCCTTAATCCGCTTGACCATCACGGCCGTCAAAAGGAAGTGATAGCCGAGGCTATTTGAGCCACTTCCCCGACGGCAACTCGGATGGTAATCTTGGGCATAGCATTTCACCAAATCACCTCATTCTTTGGGGCACACGTGAGGAACACAAATGCGACCGTGATGGTCAAGCGGATTAAGGCGCCCTGTAGTTACCAGTTGCGTTGCTTCTGGGAGTATGGGTTCGAGTCACTTCTGGGGTGTGAGTTTTCATTCATATATATATATATATATATATATATATATATACACAATGTTAAAGTCTGGTTAGTAACTGAATTGGTGTATGCATGGACTCAACTTAGTCCTAAGTTATACTGAAATCCTCCTAAAATCTTATTTTTGTCATCAGTTTCACAGCATCATTGAGCATCAATATGTTTGGCTTCATTCGCACCATCAAGATGTTTACATATGACAGAGGTTATGAGGTGGGTGTCAGTACTGTGTTACCCCCGTGTCTCTGCTCTTCGCTTAGACTTCCTATTTAATGTTAGGTGTTAACTCATCGAGTTCTGTACTACTCCTGTCACCACTGTCTAATCTTCCAACTTGTATAAGGATATTTCATGTGGTACATTACCAAAGGCTTTTGATTGTCGAAGAGGATACGGTAAGTCAATCCTTGTTTTTCCTACTAGATTGATGTAATTTTCAGCTGCTTATATTCAATGAAAATATATGCAATAATTTTATGCACAGTTCTCAACTTTATTTTAAAAATGTTTTACAGAAAATTATAAATCCCTTAACCTAAACTAAATTGATAAATAACATTAAACCCGCAGATATTCTGGCGTGATGATGATGATGTCCTTTGATAGAGTGTTAGGTAAACGTTTTTATGAAGAAGGCGTTATCTGTGACCAACAGGCAAGACACGCCCATTCAGTCCTTACCCCCCCCCCCCACCCCCACCTTGGGAGAGGCTCGGTATATAAGTCTGGAGTTCTGGTCAACATCAACACTGGTACTCTCACACCACCAACATGAAGGTGACTTACCAACACCAGCCTTGTTCCTTGCTATAGTTTAATCCTTTCATTACTGTAATGTTTAACTCATGATACAATACCAACAATGTTTGTGATTTTTTAGAAGTATTTTTAGTATTTAATAACGCGAGAAACTAATATTTTTAGAAAGTTTTTAATGGAAAAGATGACAGAAAAACCAAATCCTGTCAACTATTTAGCTATATTGAAGCAATGGATACAAGTCATTCATGCATGTCCTTAATTAGATTATTAAAATATTTCTTATAGATATGTAAACAAGATCTTGACAAACAGGAGTATTTGCCGCATCGCAAATTTTACAGGAAAAAGTTCTTTTTTCTTTAATGATTGTTCTGTTCCCCCCCCCCCTTAGAGCTGGAAGACGTGCTAATCACATCGTTAGTGAACACCTGTAGAAACACCAAAGATATATTGCAATATTGTGCAAATCTTTGTATACTGACCATTGTTCGTTGTTCTTCTACACAGGTCGTTGTTGCTCTAGCCATCGTGGGTGTGGTGGTGGGTGTCCCGCCCCACTATGGTTACTCCCCCGCCCCGACCTACACGCCCACTCCATCCTACACCCCAACTCCATCCTACCACCCAGCTCCATCCTACCACCCAGCTCCATCCTACCACTCAGCTCCCTCCTATGATGTAAGTTAGCTGTGATTATTCCAGAGGTTATTTAACAGGTCAATTTCTCATTTAAATATATAATAGTTATTATAAAAAATATATATATATATTGTTATAGGAGAAGCTGATATGAACCCATCCTCTTAAAATATCCGAAATGCATATTCAACAGACTGCGCCCAAGTATGACTTTGACTACGCCGTGAAGGACGACTATTCCGGTAACGACTTTGGCCACCAGGAGGGTCGTGACGGCTACAACACCCAGGGGTCGTACTATGTGCAGCTTCCCGACGGTCGTCTGCAGCAGGTGACCTACACTGTCAATGGTGACTCCGGCTTTGTGGCTGAGGTCACCTACCAGGGAGAGGCCCAGTACCCTCACTACCAACCATCCTATCATCCTGCTCCATCCTACAAGCCATCTCCATCCTACCATCCTACTCCATCCTACAAGCCAGCTCCATCCTACCATCCTACTCCATCCTACAAGCCAGCTCCATCCTACCATCCTACTCCATCCTACACTCCTGCTCCTGTCTATGGATAACTGATAAGTACATTCACGGGAGATGATATCTGATAAATTTATGGAATAAATAGAGAATTTTGCAATTTGTAATTGTTTAACCCAGGACATCTGGTATATGCTATCCATCAAACACACAACGTAACCAAAACGTCATTTTTGCTATTAGCACATATTAATGCTGTTATGTGTGATGAACTGCTGAAAACTTTGAGAAAACCTTTGGAAAAACAAACCCTCATTTCAGACCTCATAGCGGATTGTTGGGAGTCGCAATAAGACCCAATCCTACTTTTAAGAGGGACAATGGGGCCCACCCCGACCTTTCTATGACTCTCCTTATACAAGGGTAAATCACCATGCAAAGTTGTGCCGGGCTAACCACAAGTGTTTGGCCTTCAGCCTTGGACAGCAACCGAACAAGCAGGCATTTTATTTAAATAAATGTATATATATTATATATATAATTTATTCAGTGCCATTCATAAATATATATATATTCATTTTTAATATCATAATATACAGAGATTTAATTTATAATAAGGATATACATAATATCTATACGTATAAAAACTCACATGTATGCACAAACACCAGATTTTTTCACCTTGGATTAACTTACAAGAGTAAATAGCTAATATCCTCTTCTAACCTGAGTTGTCGACCTTGTAATATAGTGTGTATAAAGCGTCTTAGATCATGAACAAATACGAGTTATGCTACTCACGAAACCCATTGAAATTTCTAACTTTATTCAAATCAAGGTCGAGGCCTAATCGAGAACCAGGCCGCGGGGATTCTGAGCCCCGAAATCATCACAAAGTAACCGCATCGTAAGCTAAGGTATTCACAATGATAGTTCAGGTAATAAAAGTATCCTGGGTGCATAAACTACATGCACCACAACAGGAGACACCGTTACTGATGACACCGTTATATAGTGAAAATTTGTATATATGAACCTACGACTGTCAAGAAGCTTATACATTTTAAATCCTAGTAGAATACATCAGTTCTTACGTCGTTGAAAATTGCATACTCATTGATAACGTTAATTGCAGATCTGCATCATGGAATTAAATTTATTTTTTATTTTTAATATGGGGTTTTTACTACAGGACGAGATGCAGAAATCTATAGGAACTGGATGCTTACTACTGAAATAATAATATTGGTAATAAGAATAGTATTAATAATTAGAACATTTATTATAATTATTACGATAGTTTATATATTTATATACATAAACATATATCTCGCATTGACAAATAATTATGTTACCTTCTACGTCTTAATTTATACATAATATCGTATAGATGTACAATTGTTCCAACTGTAATGCCAGATATGTTGGAAGTTCCACTCGGAACTTTAAGATTAGTATAATGAAACACAGGGAAATATAGTTTAGGACTGGCTTACCATGATCCAAACCAGCATTTTCAGACAGTAGCAATCATTGTAATGAGGTGATTGATTCTCGGGGGGTGGGGGGGTAGAAATAGCCTCAGCTACTCTATCCCTAAAAAAGCTACTTTTGTATTATATCTAAAGTATCTAAAAGCTACTCTTTTTGCATTTTAGATCTGATGATGAATACGAGGAGTATTCGAAACGTCATGACTTAATTAATAAAGAAGAATTTTAACAAGATATTTGTTATGTCATTGGTTCTCTTATTAATTAAGAAAATAACAAAGGAAAAGTTTTTATTGTCTAGATTTCTCAGACCCATCCCCACTCCCTCCCCCCCCCCCCCAAAAAAAAAAAACTCTCCCTCCACCCTTACATTAAAAAAAGTTATATGTTTACAACTGAAGACCGGAATTGCTCAATACGGTTTATCAAAAATTATAAGTGTTCCAATTCCGTTATTTTTAAAAAACACAGTTTTAGATGCCAAAGGACATTCCTGTGTTCCTTTTTTAAGGCCGGTGCTGCTAGAAGAGGAATTGGAGTATTTGTGAAGCTCTCTCAGTCTTAAAAACCAGCTGATTGATGAGATATCATGTGAGAAGAGACCGTTATCTTGTTCATTATGACACGATGAGTAACATAATTTGGTTTAGAATCAAATAGAAGGAATTGGTATCGAGAGTTACACTATTTTCTGATAAAACTGTTTTTAATAAAAGGTCAATTAATTGGATAAAATAACCTTTATATATTTATTGATAAAATATAGGGGGTATAATATAAATATAGTAGATGTATATTTTCGGTCAATTATTGGTTATCCATAGACAGGAGCAGGATCGTAGCTTGGAGAAGGTCGGTAAAGAGGTTCAGGTGAATAGGATGGAGTAGGAGTGTAGGATGGAGTAGGAGTGTAGGATGGAGCTGGCTTGTAGGATGGAGCAGGATGGTAGGATGGAGCTGGCTTATAGGATGGAGCAGGATGGTAGGATGGTTGGTAGTGAGGGTACTGGGCCTCTCCCTGGTAAGTGACCTCAGCCACGTAGCCAGAGTCACCATTGACTGTGTAGGTCACCTGCTGCAGACGACCGTCGGGAAGCTGTACATAGTACGACCCCTGGGTGTTGTAGCCGTCACGACCCTCCTGGTGGCCAAAGTCGTTGCCGGAGTAGTCGTCCTTCACGGCGTAATTAAAGTCGTACTTAGGAGGAGCCTGTGGAATCATCGACAGTCTTTATTAGTAAATCAAATACGAGTACTTTCCATCTAAAGTTAGAAGCGTCACTTGTATTATATATATATATATATATATATATATATATATATATATATATATATATATATATATCTATATATATATATATATATATATATATATATATATATATATATGCAGCTGATATATTTTCAAACCAACTCTTAGACTGTTCAGTAACTCACATCATAGGATGGAGTCGGGTGGTAGGATGGAGCTGGCCTGTAGGATGGAGCCGGGCGGTAGGATGAAGCAGGGTGATAGGAGGGAGCTGGGGTGTAGGATGGAGTGGGGGTGTAGGTCGGGGCGGGGGAGTAACCGTAGTGGGGCGGGACACCCACCACCACACCCACCATGGCTAGAGCAACAACGACCTGTGTGGATAAAACATTATACAGTAGCAGCAGGAACAACACTAATGCCCAAAAATAATACTGTCTTTAGAGAATCAACAGAAACGATGTTAAGTTAGTGACCAGTTCCTCGACGACCATTATAGTTTAATCCATCTTGGTTATACAAATATCCAGTATGATGACTTCCATGTTCCTATATTCTATAATCCCCGGATGATGACAACACACCCTGTCCTCACACTTAAAGCACCGTCATGCTGACGCTTTCTCGGACGTCAGTTAGCGAACTAACAAAAAATATTGAGATTCTGTCCCGTTTATGTATACAATATAATTGTTAATGAATATATTTTTCATGCATACAAATAATTATTACAACTATTATTAAATAGTTTTATTGATTTGAAAGTCATGTTCGTAAATCAAAACTTTATGTAACATCATATGTAATTTACACTATTTCCTTTGGTTCATTAAAATTCCATAAAAACTTTCCAATGAGTTGTCTTAAGACTGTAAATACGTCGGTAAATAAAGTACCTTCAGCGATATAAGTTACTAAAATCCCGTCCATTTCATTCAACAAATATTTACACATAAAAGTCATAAACATTGACTTGTTATTCCTAGCAAGGAATAACATTATCACAATGCTACCAGTTTACCTTCATGGTTGTAGTGTGTTGGACGCTTGAGTGTTGTGATAGACAGAAGCACGGGGCTTATATACCGAGACTCTCCCAAGGAGAGAGTAGAGGGAGAGACAGACGCCTGTTTCGCTACGTTGCTATACTAACCACGCCCTAAGCCGAGAGAGCTTTGACCTTCCTGTACGTCAACAAAACACAATGTTACTACTCTGTATACGCTTCAGGTAGCCAGCTGCAACTTGTTTATTTCATGATTTTAAGAACACTGGAAAAAAAGGAAATTGCACGAGGTCTACTGGTTCATAGAAGGCAGCTTCTATTTATATCCACCCATACTCATTAATATATATATATATAAATAAATAAATATATATATATATATATATGTACATATATATATATATATATTATATATATATATATATATATATATATATATATATATATATATATATATATATATATGTACATATGCATATGAATATATAAACAATAACCTACACTTTAGCAATAAAAACAACATCTCGTCAGAATCTTCGTAGTCTTAAGGGTAAGCTCTATATACTGCTGGCTTTATTGAAATAGATAGTTTAACACGTTTTAACAATAGCTTGGACAGTTATGTGGAGGAAAACTGGTTGTTATAAATGAGACTCGGCAAGTGTAGGTTAACAGAGGAGAAGGATTTAAAAGGGGGGCCTACCTAATATGCAACCTGCTCTCACACAAGACAGCACATATATGACTTATTGCTTATAGTCATCCAATGATCCAATAGAGGTGAATTTAAAAGGGGGGCCCCTACCTAATATGTGCCAACAGAGTAGGTGGGGGACATAAACGGAACCCACTTGTCTTCAAGTGGGACCTCCATACCTCCTTAGTGGACTCAGTAGCGTCCCAGGTTGAACAGCTTTTGTTCTGTTGTGGCCTAGTGGGTTAAGGAGCACGTTTGGTATCCACCAGGACGCTGGCTCGAATCCCTGCACTGCTATAACTGATTTTATCAGTTCACTTTGTTGTTAAGTATCGTTTCTGCCCACAAAGATGGATATACCTCGGAATTCCACTCTCAGTCTTATTGTACTATGTCAACCTTCGGTGACGACCACCTACACTAACAACCACCTTCTCTAATGACCTAGTTGACGTGATGCTCTCTGCCTCAGTTCATAAGACGTGGTTGGATGGGCTCCCTAACATCAACCTTCACCATGACATCAAAATCAAATCGACAGAAATCATTTCTGAAAACACAGAGATTTGTACACAACCCTTCACGCACTGCTTGTCTGGCTGTGGGTGGGGACTCCGTAGGCAAGAATGCGTTCTTAATATCAGTGATTGCAACACCTTGCATTGTTCCTGTATAAAAACAAAAGTGAGATTATCAATACATTTTCAATAAAATTCCGTCACGCACGCGCACAAAACACACACACACACACACACACACACACACACACACACACACACACACACACACACACACACACACACACACACACACACACACACACACACACACACACACACACACACACACACACACACACACACACACACACACACACACACACACACACACACACACACACACACACACACGTAAACATGTGTTAAAAATACTTTTTTATACAGTTATTCGACATAATGATGAGTTGAGGTGGGGGCGGCGGTGGGGTCCTGTGTGTGGTGGGGCTCCGGAGCACCCCACATGACTCTTGTCAGCTGGGGTTGTCGGCCAGCTGTGGACCCCCACAGCTGCCTTCGTCAGCTGTGGGCGGGGTCCAGCTCTTGGCCACACCTGCCTTAGTCAGTTGAGTTTGTGGGGGTAGATCTTGGTCACACCTGCCTTAGTCAGTTGAGTTTGTGGGGGGTAGATCTTGGCCACACCTGCCTTAGTCAGTTGTTTGTGGGGGGTAGTTGCCTTAGTGGGGGGTAGATCTTGGTCACACCTGCCTTAGTCAGTTGAGTTTGTGGGGGGTAGATCTTGGTCACACCTGCCTTAGTCAGTTGAGTTTGTGGGGGGTAGATCTTGGTCACACCTGCCTTAGTCAGTTGAGTTTGTGGGGGGTAGATCTTGGCCACACCTGCCTTAGTCAGTTGAGTTTGTGGGGGGTAGATCTTGGTCACACCTGCCTTAGTCAGTTGAGTTTGTGGGGGTAGATCTTGGTCACACCTGCCTTAGTCAGTTGAGTTTGTGGGGGTAGATCTTGGTCACACCTGCCTTAGTCAGTTGAGTTTGTGGGGGGTAGATCTTGGTCACACCTGCCTTAGTCAGTTGAGTTTGTGGGGGTAGATCTTGGTCACACCTGCCTTAGTCAGTTGAGTTTGTGGGGGTAGATCTTGGTCACACCTGCCTTAGTCAGTTGAGTTTGTGGGGGGTAGATCTTGGTCACACCTGCCTTAGTCAGTTGAGTTTGTGGGGGTTAGATCTTGGTCACACCTGCCTTAGTCAGCTGTGGCTACGGGCCAGCTCTTGGCCACACCTGCCTCAGTCAGCTGTGGCTACGGGCCAGCTCTTGGCCACACCTGCCTCAGTCAGCTGTGGCTACGGGCCAGCTCTTGGCCACACCTGCCTTAGTCAGCTGAGGTTGTGGGGTAGTTGGCCACACCTGCCTTAGTCAGCTGTTGTTGTGTGGCAATTCTTGACCACAACCCCTCATGTCTCAACCCAGTTCTGTGAAGCTGAGATGTGAGACATGAGAAAACCACGAGGGGGTTTTCTACTTACGAAACCTGTACATCTTTCCTTAATCATGTTGGTTTAGCCTATATTTATTAAGCAGTTCATGAGCCCCGAGGGACTATGAGGTTGTTTATAATAATAATAACCTTGGGTTGTGAAGCTTCCAAGCTCGAACACTGTTTAATCAATATCAATTAAGCCGCAATGGTCGAGGAAAGATGTACTGGTTTCGTAATCAGACATAAATGCTTAATAAATCCTGATATTTGGACACAGAATAATGACGCTATTATCCGGACAATATTAACTATCCGAAAGTAGTTATATTACTCATATACATTTTAGATTGCCCTTTTACTTACATTAAAACATAATTACATTACATAAATAAACTACAATTTATTTACATTAATAGACCGTGAATGTGATTGTACTTCATTATCACGTTTTCTTAAACAAAGCAGGACCCTCGTCCACAAGCAACAGCAACAATAAACAAGAAAAACGTGGAGACAAGATTACCGGGCAACATAATAGACGAGGCGTCGCTGTAATGTTTCGAGCGTAGGTCAAACATATGAGTTTGGGTGGATATAAAAAAAGGTCTGCTTCGTATGGGCCAGTAGGCCTTCTGAAGATTCCTTAATTCTTAAGTTCTTAAAGCCAATTCAAAATTAACTGGAGGTCCATGCCTCCGTGATGACCAAATAGGTTCCTCGACCCATGAGCGCTTACTGAGGCCGTAAGCGCCCTTTGCGCTTACCCAGAGCAGAGGGCGCGTGGCCTTAAGACTTGACCTGAAGTCTAATACTTTAAACCAGCCTTCACCCTCCGCCCCGCCTACTATTAGTCTGCTCAGTCTTTTCACTATCCATCCTCATCTTGCCCATCCCTAGCCCTTCTCTACCACCTCCATTCCTCTATCCATTTTACCCACCCTTCCTTAGTCAGCTGAAGCAGAGGAGGTAAAGTGAAGTTAAGAGTTTCCTATAGGGTATATATAAAAGACTGAGTTGATATAGGAGAAAACAAAGGGATATATGTACAGAGAGAGAGAGAGAGAGAGAGAGAGAGAGAGAGAGAGAGAGAGAGAGAGAGAGAGAGAGAGAGAGAGAGAGAGAGAGAGAGAGAGAGAGAGAGAGAGAGAGAGAGAGAGAGAGAGAGAGAGAGAGAGAGAGAGAGAGAGAGAGAGAGAGAGAGAGAGAGAGAGAGAGAGAGAGAGAGAGAGAGAGAGAGAGAGAGAGAGAGAGAGAGAGAGAGAGAGAGAGAGAGAGAGAGAGAGAGAGAGAGAGAGAGAGAGAGAGAGAGAGGGGGAGAGAGAGAGTTTTATTTAGTTCTGAACTATGTTCGGGACTAAACTATACTTGCTGGTTAGTCAGTAAACTCCTGTGGTGGCCTCAATAACCCTTCAGAGGTTGATAGGCCTTATAATCCCTACACCAAATTTAATGATTGGTCAGTAAGCTGTTGTGCTGGCCTAATAATCTACCTTCCATACCCACGTCCATGTAAATCTACCTTGCCCAACTTCAAGTCTTCTACCCTATCCACCATATAAGGGCAGCATCCATATTTTTCAAATTACGGGCTATTCATACCCGTGCTACCTCTTGGGTTGCTTAATCTTCATCATTAACCAATCCTTTCAAAATCTTGATAATTACTAGCTCTATTTGGTAAGAATTCTCGAAGACTTGATTAGTAACTGGAACCAATTGATATTGAACACTTAGCAAACAATTGTAACCACAACATTGTTTGTGCGTTGAAAAAATACAGTTTTACAAAGTTGAAACAACGCAATATTGTTGCTACAACATTGAAACAACTTAATATTGTTGTTACAAGGTTGAAGCAAAGTCACAACAGTGGTTTTGTCGTGTGTTTGCTGGGTACGAATGGCAATTAAGGAGGGTAAAATCACAAATAAATAATACTGTTAAGCTTTAATCAGTGTGCAACATTAATTTGGCATAATTAATTCATGTTTGAGCTACACAAACTTTTGGGTCTACTCAAAAACTTTTGGGGCTACTCAAAAACCTATGGGGGATACTCAACAACGTTTTTTGGATTACTCCAAAAACTTTTGAGATTACTCGAAAACATTTTTTCCTACAAAAAATCTTTTTGAGGCGGCTCAAAAAAGTTTTGGGTTATAAAAAGCTTTTGAATTATGAATAAGTGATGAAATTTTTAACAGTAAGTTTTTTTTTCAATAAATTATGGTCTAAAAGCATATGTGTTCAATTTAAAAAATTAATATATTTAAAAATAATGGATAATTGTTTAAAGATTTGTCGTTAATAAATAATAAGCAAGTCTTACAATATATTTTTAAATGCAGATTTGAAGGGGTTGCCCAAAATTATTATTGGGATTACTAAGCCTAATAATAATTATCACAGAAAGCTGATTCATGCTTTAACTTCAGCCATACACTGGAGCAGGTCTGTATGTTGGAACAGGTGTATAGGCAGGAACTGGAGTGTAGGCCGGTGTAGGCCTATAGGCAGGCTGGTAGGTTGGGAACTGGGCCTCTCCCTGGTACTGGACATCGGCCACGTAGCCAGAGTCACCGTCCACGAAGTAATTCACAGTCTGCAGACGACCATCGGGAAGCTGCACGTAGTACGACCCCTTGGTGTTGTCACCGTCGCGGGCCTCCTGGTGACCGAAGTCGTTGCCAGAGGGACCGTCCCTTACGGCCCACTCGAAGTTGTAGCGAGCGGGAGCCTTGAAGATGGAAGTTAATTAGTAGGATTACATTTAGATGCAAGTAATTATCGAAAGATAGACGGCAAGTCATGAAGAAATGCAGTGGACACAATATCCAAGAGCGACGTTAAATGAACGATGAATCAACGTTACACTTGGATATTGCTCACTGGGCACCCCTGGACAAATCTGGATAAATGACGTTTATGCAACATGAATCAACGTTAATTAAAAGTTGTATCAATAGTATTCTGGTACATTTTCCACTGAATATTTAACACTGTCCAGCAGGCAAAACATTCCCAAGGAACGTGTAATCAACATTCCATCAACGTTTTCGACATTGATTCATTGTTACATTAACGTCATTTGCTCAGATTATCAGCATAGGGCCATTTGTCACACAGAACAATACAAATTCCTACATATCACTTAATATATCTTTTGAAGCAAACAATGCCATGTGCAACTACCCTGATTTGAGTAGCTTATATTGCATATATTTTAAGTTGAACAATAATTTAATAACTTTTATGCAAAATATTCACAAAAATCAATAACAGTCGTCTCATTACCGCATAGGATGGAGCTGGCCTGTAGGATGAAGCTGGGGAAAAACCATAAGGAGGTCCTGAAGGAGCAGCAACCACAGCTGTCACCAGGGTCAAGACAAGAACTACCTAGACGGCAGAGAATAAGATATTTTACTTCAATTCTGACATAAGTAATAGCAACTACATATTAAATTTAAGTATAATCAACATTTATTAGCATCAAATAATTAATATTATATATTATAATAATATCGGTTGTATTAACGTTGATGGAAATGTAGAAGTAACCAAACACACACAATGATGTAACAACGTGCAACCAAAACGTTGTTACAACTTTGTGAGTTTGCTGGAAAGTTGGATACTCTATGTGATGTTTAACTACAGGAGAGACTTAAACAAAGCTGATATCTTGAGCCTCTCCACCCCCCCATGGACGCGATCAAGTCTTGTCACCAGTCTATGTAAACCAACTATATAGGTCGATCAAGCCTGAAACCGGGCTGCGCTTGCGGAGTAGAGGAACTCCAAGAACCTAGTTCAGGTAGAATCTAGAAACAATATACCGATAACTCAACCAACATAATGAAAGGAAATTGAAGACGTTTCAGTCCGTCGTGGACCCTCATGTAGTCGTGACAAGATAAGGCCTCACGATAATGAGCTCCGAAGGACTCTGAGGTTGTTTATAAAAATAATTACCTCGGGTTGGAAAGTTCTGAAGCTTGTAAACTGTTTAATAAATTTAAACAAAGCTGCCATGATCATGGAAAGATGTACAGGTATCGTAAATGGTTGTGTAAATACTTGATGAATATTTCAGATTGAACCGTTAAAAGATTCATTTCATATGTTACTTGGGATTTTGTATTTCAACTACATTATAGTGTAGTATTCGTTACAACAATTTACCGGTGTTACAAGCTCTTTCAACTCTTAATCATAAATCATCAATTATACTCTGAAACAGCTGTATTAAGTACAATATTATGGTACATTTTTACCTGCATTGTTGATGAGGTTGGTGGAAGTGTATGCTGCCTTCCCTGCCGCCCTCACTACTTATACCGGCCGGGGGACTGTGGGCGTGTCGGGACCGAGGCCACCAAAACTGGTTTACAAACGAAAAAGCTTCGGGGAAGTGACGGCCAGGTAATGAGAATACGGATGGGGTCAATAGGATTGGATGGGCAATAAATGGGTCAAGATTGCATAAACCGGACATACTCAGAAGCCTCTGAATCGGATATTCAGTAATCGAATAAGCCTGAATTAAATCAGTGTATTATCAACAGTACATTTTTGTGGGACAATTTTATAAATAAAGGTTTGTTTAAAGTTCGTAAATAAACTCTGACTGCAGGATTTGATATGTTCCTAGATTGGATCGAAATATTAAGCTTATATTAATTGTTTTTATTGATCATTATATATATATATATATATATATATATATATATATATATATATATATATATATATATATATATATATATATATATATATATATATATATATATATATATATATATATATATATACACGTTCATTGGAACAATTTACCAGCTTTTTCAACAATGTTTTGGTATATTTTTACCTGCATTGCTAATGAGGTAAAAATGTAGCTGCAAATTAAAGAAAAGGAACTTGGAGGCTATAACGTCACTCACCCAGCTAACACTGCCAATTAGCCCCTAAGATACAAATGATTATAGCTGTCCTCCGAAAAAAAGAACTTACTTTGCCATACCATGTCCCAATACAATTTTTATTGCCAGTGCATATTTGTCTTTATGAACAAATTATATTTTTCTTATAAATCTCTTTATCTGTTTGATCATATGCCCAAAATTTAATGTTAGATTTTTAATTACATTATTGTTTAGTCGCTTTACCAATGCTCTGATTTCTCCTTCCCTACAACATCTGGGGCTGTTTGTGTCACGTTTTCTTTGTGGTGTCATGGCCAATCATGAAGGTGGGCAAAGGGCTTACTGTGAAATTTCTCTCCAGTTTTGACCACGAGCCATGCAACTTTGACCTGTATTTTCTCTCCGAAGTCTATAGGAAATATGGAAATATATATTTTTTCTGATTTATATCTTGCCTCTGAGACTTTTAAAGTCACACACAAATTAATATCAATAATGATATATAATTATATATTACTCAAATCTTTAACTAAGTTTATAACTTTGTCAACCATTACAGAAGTATGCATGTATTATAGAATGGATACTGAGAGATATACGCAATTTATCGCTGTATATACACACTGAGAATTTACTTTGTACCTGGACTATGTTCAGGACTATAAAGTACACTTGCTGGTTGGTCAGTTAGGTATTGTGGTGGTCGTAATAATCCTCCAGAGTTTGATAGTCCTTAAGCACCAAACGAATTAGCTGGTCAGTAAACTATTGTGGTTACTTTAATAACCCTCAAAAGACTGAAAGACACTTAACCAAACTTACAAGTATTTTAACGATTTTGATTGAATCGTACAATCTTAAGAATGATGCAGCGTTTAAATTATGAGAGTAATACAGTGTGTATTATTGAATTTAGGATCTCAATAAAACTCTGTAACTCCTCCACATGATTAACAATCAAACGAATAACTTTAGACGATCAACAATCGATCAAAATAATTCAACAATCGAATAAGTAAATAAAATTTATGTTTGTGAGGTTGTTCTTCAGTGTGTGTAAAATTGTTGCATCTCATGATCTAGAAAAGTTTTTACTGTAAGGAGGCGAAATATGATTTCTAATTTTAAGTGGTATTAATTTTTGGTGATGCTGCTATTTTTATCGTTGTTGAAAATCATTCTATGACAAAGTGCTGGTGTTGCGTGACTGCTGCATATAATATCCGTGCAACACAAACCGTGCAACTCAAACTAGAGAGTTGTCTTGCACTAAACAATCCCACCACTTAACACCTAGCAAAACTATCGTAATATTACACCCTCAACTGGACTTCTGCGTAATATTAATTAAATCCTCAACAGTACCATGGTATCGTAATGTTTAATTTTCAACAGTACCACGGTATTGCAATGTTAATTCCTCAAAAGTACCACGGTATTGTAATGTTAAATCGTCAACAGGACCTCGGAATCATAATATTCTTCAAAAACCTTAACTTGCTCGTAAAGTGTTCAGTAAATGCCGACAAAGCCGTCATGATCGAGATAAGAATTACATTCCTCGTAAAAGAAGATGTAAGTGCTCTGTAAATACCGGCCCCAGATAGCAACAATAGTGTGTTTCGACGCTAAACGATGATGCATTTATTATAGGAAGGCGTCATAAATGGTTCGCAATTGTTTTGACTCTTCCTGGTCGTCTCCGCTAGTTCTTAAAGACAGCAGCACTACCTGCACTATATATTTTTTGAACCCCCTTCCCATATTCATTGTTCATTGCCTCAGCTGAGGCACTTTGCGTCACGTTTTCTTTGTGTGGTTTCATGGCCAATCATAGAGGTAAAAAAAAAAGTGAAAAAGCGTTATACAGTTTTCATTGGTTCATGAGGTCTTTCGCCACTATGACATCCGGGAGAGCATGATAGTTTTCTTCGGGTTTATTTTGGGCTTAGGGGGATCCCTGTGGCTTCCTGCAGAAGACCTGTAGGAGGCTTCATTCACGAGACTTCTTGTTTGATGACTCCTTCAGTGAGCTTCCTGTTGGAGACTTCCTTCGGGAGCAGTTTTGCAGAACATTTCCTATAGGAGATGTGTTAGAGGTGCAAGCAGAAAGCAATTAATAGTAATGATTCTCAATATTTTGTTTCTCTTACCTAAAATTTCATTTAGTCCAGAAATGCGAAACCATCAGGAAGAAGCGAGATACTGCTCCCGTGTCATTCTGGACAACTCGCTTCACTTTCTAGCAGAGTCTCTCCACTTTCTGGACAAGTCGCTCCGCTATCTGAACGACCCGCTTCATTTACACATATTTTATGGACGTTTTAAGACAATTTTTATTGACAATTTATTTTATTTAAAATTCTTAGCCCTCCGTGCTGCACAGAGTTGGAGAATTGTTTTGAGTAGACACAATTGACATCATCAATGCATCAATCAGAACTGCTGTTGTAAATTCAACCTGTCTTCTCACCATTACATTTTATATGAAATAAATTAATCCGTAAAAATATGACGTATTATTCAAAATTCAATGGAAAATTAACTTTTTCTGCCTATTGGCTTTTAAAGATAAGGTGGGTTGATTGGGTTTGTACGTTTCTGGCTAGGCAAAACCATGGTATTTTTTACGGAATGGCAAATAGAGAGAATGAAATTCTAAATCTATGCTATCACCAAGAGCCATTTGTACAGAAAATAACTGCATGACGTCAGAGCAATTCAACAAGATATACACACAGAGGAGTATCCCGCTTCTCGGAGAGCGTACACTAGGCGTTAACAATAGGCTTGAATTTTGCTCTTTGATTCAACTGTGCCTTTGATTCGTAGTCTCTCTGATTCAACTGATTACGTTTTACACACTTCCAGCAAAAATTCAGAATCTTGTTTAAATTAATTATTTCCGTAATACGTTTAAACATTGGGCAATTAATTCATCATTTTCTTTTTTTTAGTGTTTGGCTAATATGCACAATCGAACTTTTCCTTGACATAAAAAAAGCTGGTAACATCTACGATACTCAAGACACCCTCATTGAAGTGTGTTCTTCACCCTCAAGCATGAGGGTGAAGAACATACTGGGACGGAGGCGGCTGATTGTTTTTGTTATAAATGATATATTGATTTCATTATTAAATTGTTAAACTTAATGCAATCCTACATTTGCGAACATTAAACAGGATAAATATACATAGAAGAACCAATTGTGTTTATATTTTATTTCTGATTTTCTACATCATTTATAAACATTTCACCCATAGACAGGGGTGGGCCTATAGAGTGGGGCGATATTATAGGCTGGTGTAGGCCTATATGAAGAATGTAAGGATGGGAACCGGGCCTCTCCCTGGTACTGGACATCGGCCACGTAGCCAGAGTCACCGTCCACGAAGTAATTCACAGTCTGCAGACGACCGTCGGGAAGCTGCACGTAGTACGACCCCTTGGTGTTGTCACCGTCGCGGGCCTCCTGGTGACCGAAGTCGTTGCCGGAGGGACCGTCGTTTACTGCCCACTGGAAGTTGTAGCGAGCGGGACCCTGTCAAAGGAGTAACGTTATGTAGAATGTATTTAAGTTCACCATTATAATAATAAGTAATTGTCTTTGCACAGTTTGCAGCAAGAGAATAGGTCACTATATTTCCATATATGTAATATACTTATTCTCTACCTCGTAGGCTGGTAGAGGCCTGTATGACAGGGCGGGAGAGTATCCATAGCTGGGCAGGCTTGGGGCAGCCATAGCCGCAGCCACCAACATCACAGCTAAAATAACCTTTTGAAACAAAATATATTATAATAAATAAATCAGTAATTTAGAGGAATCTGTTAAATCCTGTGCTATATACTCATTTAATATTACGAAGAACAATTATGGATTTAATACAGCTTTTATCACTTTCTTGAAGACCAGATCTAATAAATATTCCAGGAAGAAGTGGATGAACCATCTTTATATAACATTACCTTCATTATGTTGGTGGAGATCTCGAGTGAGTGAGCTGCCTTCCCAAACCGTCTCGGAGCTTATATACTCATGGGTGAGCTGTGGGCGTCGCCATGAAGGACGCTAAACGGGTATTGACCAAGGAGAGATGCAGCAATTGGAAGGCAAGAGGAGAGGTAACTGTGGAGGTCAATATTATGAGATATGTTATCATCGAGGTTATTCTTGTGTAATCCAAAAACACGATTTGCCACCTGGCACCGAACTCTGGCTTAATTTCACAAGTCTCAAATTTACGATTCATCGAAAACCATAAAAGATCAAGATATTTAACTGAATGTGTCTTTATGAAGCTTCCAGCTTTTTTGACGTTAATAGAGTAACGAATAATACGATATTTGTTGTGTGTTGGACTTCCAGGAGATGATTTTCGAGCAGGAATTATGTCAGTTCTGTCATGCTTCATTAAGGTTGCATGAGATGTTTATTAAGCACGCCAACTTCTACAGAGGCTTTTACAGCTTCTAGTAAAGAAGCTAAAAGGGATTCAGTTATATGAAGAACTTCACAGGGCTTCCAGGAGATAAGTTAAAAGCTGAATAAATATCTGTAGAGCTCCTTGGGGGCTTCCAAGAATTAAGGAAGCACTGAGACGGAATTTTGTTTTGTCTGTTTTCTTGGCCTGATATGTAGGTAATAATAGTTTTGACCTAAAAACTTAACTTAGTAAAAAAGGAACTTTACTAACATGACGTAACACAAAACTTAAGAGAAATTTCATTAAAAAAATTTCTCAAGTTTTAACGATATAATATAAGTCTGTCAATGTACTGTATTCTTCTGAATATATTATTACTATTATTATTATTATTATTATTATTAGTTACTTTGAAACTATTATTATTAGTTATTATTTATTATTAGTTATCTAATAAATAACTATTTATTATTAGTTACTTTTATTATTATTATTATTATTATTATTATTATTATTATTATTATTATTATTATTATTATTATTATTATTATTATTATTATTATTATTGTTGTTGTTGTTGTAAATAATGCTTCAAAATGTTCTAAACATTGTGTAAACAAAATAATATTACTACTTTTTCATGTTATAGAGTGTATAATCGATCCTGTGCCTGCAAGAATATCATTAAAAGCCTGTGACTTTTAATGATAGTCTTGCAGTGTGACCTTCATCCGGTTGAATATTAAAAAATGAAAATGCTGCACTATATAGATCTTACTAATGTTTTAGTGTGACGTTTCTAGATTGAAATAAACCAATAATGTTCGTAACTGACCTTTCATTATATGACCCAGACTCTCCATCCAAGGGACAAAATGCTCCACTAATGTTGTTGACCTTCCGATGATAAGAATGACCTTCCGGAAGGTCATTCCGATGATAAGAATGCTTTGGATTGACTTTACGAAGTTGAGAAGAAATTATTTATTACCCAAAGTAACTTTTCTAGCAGCTGAAAGACAGAGTTTTGACATATCTCTTTCAATATATTCAATGCAAATTTATATCATGCAAACTTAATCAATTAACAAAATAAAGAATTGCATAAACCGGGTTGACCATTTGAGGAGCTCTGATCTAGTGGTGACCCAATGACCAGCATTGGTCTGAATGAGAGCTTTGAACAGCACTGGACTGATGGTTACCTTTAAACAGTACTGATCTCAAGAAGATCCTTTCAACAGTCCTGGTCTGATGCAAACAGTTAAGTAGTTCAAATCTGATAGTAACCCTTAAGCAGTTCTGGTCTGAAGAAGACCCCTTTGAGCAGCTCTTGTCTCACGGAGACACTTTGAGCAGGCCTCGTCTGCGGGAGACCCTTCAGCAGCATTTTTCTAAAACTGACCATTGAGCAGCCCCCGGTCTTTATGTGACCCTTGAGCAGCCCCGGTCTTTATGTGAACCTTGAGCAGCCCTGGTCTGAGGTTGACCCTTATACAACCCTAGTCTGAAAGTGACCCTTGTTCATATATAAAATTCAATTGTGCCAAACTTCAACAAAAGTATTCACAATAGATAAGGAAGACTTCTGAGAAAACAATTACCCTTAGTAACCATCTTCTGTATGTAATATATACCAAATCAAATCAACTCGGACACATGTTATGATAAAGCGGTTGTTTAATATGTATAAACGTTAACATAACCACCGAAGAAGAATCCAATAGTCAATGTTTCCAGATGATATTCAATTAATACTAAAGTCGTCCCAGAGGCAGATTAAACAATACTCCAAGACCTACACAAACTGCAATAATGAGTGGATAAATGGGCTTTGGATACCTTCCAAAGGATACCATCCTTTCTTTGGATACCTTCAATCACCTTACAACCAGTAAGTGTAAGGTGATTGAAATGAACAAGGAAACCAACAGGACGGTGCACAATGAAGGGAAATCTCTTTGAACTAATTAAACTAACGACCAAACTAACGATATTGAAAGAAGCCTTATTAGAGAAACACAAATAAATAGCAAAATGGCTAACTTCAAATCGGTGAACATCAGAAGAACCTTAACGAAATTCAATAAGGTGGCACTAGGACCACTGTACATCATATACGTCAGACGAAAATGATCGCGCGAGACGAAGAAAGAACGTATATATAGGAAGATATCTAAATCCTGTTTGCTATTCAAGATTTTCCACATAAACGTTTAAGTAACGTCTAATATTATATGATATGCGATCAAGGACGCAACTACATAGAGATTCATTATACTAAAAGAGGATATAGATCTTCTATGCAGATACTTTTCAAAATCTGATTCATTGTTATAAAGTTTTACTAAATGATATCTAATTTTAATGAATAAGATCACGAGATCATTAACTCATTAATTACGTTTTTCCTACTTTATTAGAAAAGTATTAATTTGGAGGACGCGTCATAAAATTTATTTCTGATAGGATATAAAATATATTCCGAGGCACATTCATTTTAAATATTTATTCATAATTTTCCATGATCGTTCAGAAACAGTTTAGCCATACACTGGGGATGGCCTGTAGGCTGGTGTAGGCCTATAAGCAGGTTGGTAGGCTGGGAACTGGGCCTGTCCCTGGTACTGGACATCGGCCACGTAGCCAGAGTCGCCGTCCACGAAGTAGTTGACAGTCTGCAGACGACCGTCGGGAAGCTGCACGTAGTACGACCCCTTGGTGTTGTCACCGTCGCGGGTCTCCTGGTGACCGAAGTCGTTGCCGGAGGGACCGTCGTTTACTGCCCACTGGAAGTTATAGCGAGCGGGACCCTGTCAAGGAATAACATAAAGAAAAATTTTCATACACTCACCATTACAATCTTCAGAAGTTGTTTTAAACAATTTACAGGAAGAAACTGTATTATATTCTCATATATGTAATATACTTCTTTACCTCGTAGGCTGGCACAGGCCTGTATGACAGAGCAGGAGAGTATCCATAGCTGGGCAGACTCGGGGCAGCCATAGCCGCAGCCACAAACATCATAGCAAAAATAACCTAAAAGGTTCAACATTTCTCATATTATTAAATAAATTAATAAGGCATATCCATCTGTTATACCATGTTTATATTCATATTGTGTAATGAAGTATATATACAGATTTAATCCAACTTTTATCACTATTTGTAGATCAGATCTACCATATACTCCAAGATTACTTGGTTGGACCGTCTTCATATAACTTTACCTTCATTATGTTGGTGGAGGTCTCGAGTGACTGAGCTGCCTTCCCAGACCGTCTCAGAGCTTATATACTCATGGGTGAGTGTGGGCGGCGGCATGAAGGACGCAAAACGTGTATTGATCAAGGAGGAATGCAACAATTGGAAGGCAAGAGGAGAGGTAACTGTGGAGGCCAATAAAGTGTGATATGTTATCAACAAGGTTATACTTGGGTAATCCAAGAACACGATTTGCCACCTGGCACCGAACTCTGGTTTAATTTCACAAGTCTCAAATTTACGAAACTTTGAAAACTATAAAAGATCAAGATATATAGCTACATGTGCCTTTATAAAGCCTCCAGCTTTTTAGACGTTAATAGTAACGAATTATACGATATATGTTTCGTGTTGGACTTCCAGGAGATGAGTTTCGAGTAGGAATTATGTCAGTTCTGTCAGACCTCATTAAGGTTGCATGAGATGTTTCTTATGCACGCCAACGTCTACATAGGATTCGACAGCTTCCAGTAAAGAAGTTAAAAGGGATTTAGTTATGTGAAGAGCCTCGCGGGGCTTCCAGGAGATTAGTTGCAAGCTGAATGAATATCTGTTGAGCTCCTTGGGGGCTTCCAAAAATTTCGGAAGCAATGAGACAGATATTTTTTAACTTTTCTTGTCCTGAGCAATAGTAAATATTAGTTTTGACTTAATAACTTAACTTAGTAAAGAAGGAACATTATTAACATGACGTAACACAAAGCTTAAGAGAAATTTCACTAAAAAATGTCCCCAAAATTTAACAATATAACAAAGGTCTGTCAATGAACTGCTTTCTTCTAAATATATCATTATTATTAATATTATTATTATTATTATTATAATTATTATTATTATTATTATTATTATTATTATTATTATTATTATTATTATTATTATTATTATTATTATTATTATTGCTGTAAATAATGCTTCTAAATGTTCTAAACATTGTGTATCAAAATAATAATAATTCTTTTTTATGTTTTAGAGTGTATGATCGATCTATTGCCTGTGGCTTTTAGTGATATTTTTGCGGTGTGACCTTTATCCGGTTGAATATTAAAAAATGATAATGCTGCACTATATAGATCTTGGCACACTCCAAAGTTGAAAATGCTCATCTATTATTTAAGTGACATTTCTAGATTGAAATAAACCAATAATGCTCGCAACTGACCTTTCATTATATGACCCAGATTGTCCATCCAAGGGACAGAATGCTCCACACTGACCATCCGATGATAAGAATGCTTTGGATTCACTTTACAAAGTTGAGAAGAAACTATTTATTACGCAAAGTAGCTTTCTTAGCAGCTGAAGGACAGAATTTTGATAAATCTCTTCATATATGTGTTTAATGCAAATTTATATCATGCAAACTTAATCAATTAACAAAATAAAGAATTGCATAAACCAAGTTGACCATTTGAGAAGCCCTGATCTAATGGTGACCCATTGATAAGCATTGGTCTGAATGCGAATTTTGAACAGCCCTTGTCTGAAGGTGATCTTTAAGCAGCTCTATTCTGATGGTAACCCTTAAACAGTTTTGGTTTGAAGAAGACCCCTTGAGCAGTCTTGGTCTGAAGAAGACCATTTCAGCAGCTCTCGTCTTACGGAGACTATTTTGAGCAGGCCTAGTCTGAAAGTTACCCTTAAGCATCACAGGTCTAAAACTGACCTTTGAGCAGCCCCCGTCTTTAGGTGACCCTTGAGCAGCCCTGGTTTCAAGTTGACTCTTGTACAGTCCCGGTCTGAAGTTTGGCCTTCTACAGCCATTGTCTGAAAGTGACCTCTGTTAAAATATCAAATATAATGTTGCCAATCTTCAAGAAAAGTATTTACAATAGATACGGAAGACTTCAGATAAAAAATTACACTTAGTAACCTTCCTCTGTATATTATATATACCAAATCAAATCAACACAGACACATGTTATCACATAGCAGTTGTTTAATATGAATAAAAGTCAAAATAACTACCGAAGTAGAATCCCAGAAGTCAGTGTTTCCAGATTAATTTCAATTGATATTAAAGTCGTCCCAGAGGAAGATTAAACAATACTCCAAGACCTACACAAACTGCAGTAATGAGTGGATAAATGGCCTTTGGATGTCACAACCAGTAAGTGCAATTTGATTTAAATGAACAAGGAAACCAACAGGACGGTGCACAATGAAGTGAAATCTCTATGAATTAATTAATCTAACGACCAAAGAAACGATATTGAAAGAAGTCTTATAACAGAAAGACAAATAAATAGCACAATGGCTAACTTCAAATCAGTGACCATAAGAAGAACCTTAACGAAATTCAATAAGGTGGCACTAGGACCACTGAACATCATATACGTCAGACGAAGATGATCAGGCGAAACGAAGAAAGAACGTACATAAGAAGATATCTAAATCTTGCTTGCTAGTCAAGATTTTCCACATAAACGTTTAAGTAACGTCTAATATTCTATGATATGCCATCAAGGACGCAACTGCATAGAGATTCATTATACTAAAAGAGGATATAGATCTTCTATGCAGATACTTTTCAAAATCTGATTCATTGTTATAAAGTTTTACTAAATGATATCTAATTTTAATGAATAAGATCACGAGTTCATTAACTCACAAATTACGTTTTTTCCAGTTTATTGGAAATGTATTAATTTGGAGGACGCATTACAAAATTAATTTCTTATAGGATATAAAATATATTCCGAGACACATTCATTTTAAACATTTATTTAGAATTTTCGATGGTCGTTCAGAAACAGTTTAGCCATACACTGGGGATGGCCTGTAGGCTGGTGTAGGCCTATAGGCAGGCTGGTAGGCAGGGAACCGGGCCTCTCCCTGGTACTGGACATCAGCTACGTAGCCAGAATCACCGTCCACGAAGTAGTTCACAGTCTGCAGACGACCGTCGGGAAGCTGCACGTAGTACGACCCCTTGGTGTTGTCACCGTCGCGGGCCTCCTGGTGACCGAAGTCGTTGCCGGAGGGACCGTCGTTTACTGCCCACTGGAAGTTATAGCGAGCGGGACCCTGTCAAGGAATAACATAAAGTAAAATTTTCATACACTCACCATTACAATCATCAGAAGTTGTTTTGAACAATTTTAGGAAGAGAGTGTGTTATATTTTCATATATGTAATATACTTCTTCTCTACCTCATAGGCTGGCACAGGCCTGTATGACAGGGCAGGAGAGTATCCATAGCGGGGTCCACTTGGGGCAGCCATAGCCGCAGCCACAAACATCATAGCAAAAATAACCTAAGAGGTACAACATCTTACATATTATTAAATAAATTAGTAATGCATATCCATATGTTATATCCCAAGTTTATATTCATAGTATAATGAGGAATAAATACAGATTTAGTCCAACTTTTATCATTATTTTGGAGAACAGATCTAATACATATTCCAAGATTACTTTGTTGGACCCTCTTCATATTACTCTACCTTCATGATGTTGGTGGAGGTCTCGAGTGACTGAGCTGCCTTCCCAGACCGTCTCAGAGCTTATATACTCATGGGTGAGCTGTGGGCGTCGCCATGAAGGTCGCGAAACGGGTATTGACCATGGAGAGATGCAGCAAGTGGAAGGCAAGAGGAGAGGTAACTGTGGAGGTCAATAATATGTGATATGTTATCATCGAGGTTATTCTTGTGTAATCGAAGCACACGATTTGCCACCTGGCACCAAACTCTGGTTTAATTTCACACGTCTAATTTATAAAATTTCGAAAACCATAAAAGACTAAGATTTACAGCTGAATGTATCTTTATGAAGCTTCCAGCTTTTTAGACGTTAATAGAGTAACGAGTAATACGATATTTGTTGGGTGTTGGACTTCCAGGAGATGAGTTTCGAACAGGAATTATGTCAGTACTGTCAGACTTCATTAAGGTTGCATAAGGTGTTTATTATGTACGTCAACTTATACGGAGGCTTTTACAGCTTCCAGTAAACAAATTTAAGGTATTCAGTAACATGAAGAGCATCACGGGGCTTTCAGTAGATAAGTTAAAAGCTGAATTTAACTTAGAGCGCCTTGGGGGCTTCCAAGGATTTCGGAATCACTGATACGAAATTTTGTTGTCTGTTTTCTTGTTCTGAGCTATAATAAATATTAGTTTTCACTTAATAAACTTAGTAAAAAAGGAACATGCAGGCGATGAGTCACAATAACGTGGCTGAAGTATGTTGACCAATCCACACAATAGAAAATGAAGGGACGACGACGTTTCGGTCCGTCCTGGACCATTCTCAAGTCGATCGAAACGTCGTCGTCCTTTCATTTTCTAGTGTGTGGATTGGTCAATAAAAGGAACATTATTAACATAGGTCGCGAAACGGGTATTGACCATGGAGAGATGCAGCAAGTGGAAGGCAAGAGGAGAGGTAACTGTGGAGGTCAATAATATGTGATATGTTATCATCGAGGTTATTCTTGTGTAATCGAAGCACACGATTTGCCACCTGGCACCAAACTCTGGTTTAATTTCACACGTCTAATTTATAAAATTTCGAAAACCATAAAAGACTAAGATTTACAGCTGAATGTATCTTTATGAAGCTTCCAGCTTTTTAGACGTTAATAGAGTAACGAGTAATACGATATTTGTTGGGTGTTGGACTTCCAGGAGATGAGTTTCGAACAGGAATTATGTCAGTACTGTCAGACTTCATTAAGGTTGCATAAGGTGTTTATTATGTACGTCAACTTATACGGAGGCTTTTACAGCTTCCAGTAAACAAATTTAAGGTATTCAGTAACATGAAGAGCATCACGGGGCTTTCAGTAGATAAGTTAAAAGCTGAATTTAACTTAGAGCGCCTTGGGGGCTTCCAAGGATTTCGGAATCACTGATACGAAATTTTGTTGTCTGTTTTCTTGTTCTGAGCTATAATAAATATTAGTTTTCACTTAATAAACTTAGTAAAAAAGGAACATGCAGGCGATGAGTCACAATAACGTGGCTGAAGTATGTTGACCAATCCACACAATAGAAAATGAAGGGACGACGACGTTTCGGTCCGTCCTGGACCATTCTCAAGTCGATCGAAACGTCGTCGTCCTTTCATTTTCTAGTGTGTGGATTGGTCAATAAAAGGAACATTATTAACATGACGTAACAAAATGCTTTAGTGAAATTTTACTAAAAAATTCCCCGAAAGTTTAACAATATAATAAAGGTCGATCAATGAACTGCATTCTTCTGAAAACATTAGTAGTAGTAGTAGTATTGTAAATAATGCTTATAAATGGTATAAACATTGGGGTAACAAAAAAAAATACTTATTTTTCGTGCTCAAGAGTGTATGATCGATCAATCGCCTTTAGTTTTTAATGATATTCTTGCAATGTGACCTTCATCCGGTTGAATATTAAAAAATGAATATGCTGCACTATATAGATCTTGACTAACTCCAAATTGAAAATACTTAACTATTGTTTTAGTGTGACATTTCTAGATTGGAAATAAATCAATAATGCTCGCAACTGACCTTTCATTATATGACCCAGACTGTCCACCCAAGGGACAGAATGCTCCACTAATGCTCCAGACATCCGATGATAAGAATGTTTTAGATTAAATTTACAAAGTTGAGAAAAAATCATTTATTACGCAAAGTATCTTTCCTAGCAGCTGAAGGACAGAATTTTGGTAAATGTCTTTAAACATTTTTAATGCAAATTTCTATCATGCAAACTTAATTAATCAATTAACAAAAATAAAGAATTGCATAAACTGGGTTGACCATTTGAGAAGCCCTGATCTAATGGTGGCCCATTGATAAGCATTGGTCTGAATGCAAATTTTGAACAGCCCTTGTCTGAAGGTAATCTTTAAGCAGCACTATTCTGGTGGTAACCCTTAAAGAGTTTTGGTTTGAAGAAGACCCCTTCAGCAGTCCAGGTCTAAAGAACACCCTTTCAGCAGCTCTCGTCTCACGGAGACTATTTTGAGCAGGCCTAGTCTGAAAGTCACCCTTAAGCATCACTGATCTAAAACTGACCTTTGAGCAGCCCCCGTCTTTAGGTGACCCTTGAGCAACCCCCGTCTTTAGGTGACCCATGAGCAGCCCTGGTGTGATGTTGACTCTTGTACAGTCCCGGTCTGAAGTTTGGCCTTGTACAGCCATTGTCTGACAGTGACCTCTGTTAAAATATCAAATATAATGTTGCCAAACTTCAAGAAAAGTATTTACAATAGATACGGAAGACTTCAGATAAAAAATTACCCTTAGTAACCTTCCTCTGTATGTAATATATACCAAATCAACACTGACACATGTTATCACATATCAGTTGTTTAATATGAATAAAAGTCAAAATAACTACCGAAGTAGAATCCCAAAAGTCAGTGTTTCCTGATTATTTTCAATTGATATTAAAGTCGTCCCAGACGAAGATTAAACAATACTCCAAGACCTACACAAACTGCAATAATGAGTGGATAAATGGCCTTTGGATGTCACACAACCAGTAAGTGTAATTTGATTAAAATGAACAAGGAAACCAACAGGACGGTGCACAATGAAATGAAATCTCTATGAATAAATTAATCTAACGACCAAAGAAACAATATTGAAAGAAGTCTTATAACAGAAACACAAATAAATAGAACAATGGCTAACTTCAAATCAGTGAACATCAGAAGAACCTTAACGAAATTCAATATGGTGGTACTAGGACCACTGAACATCATATACGTCAGACGATGATCAGGCGAGACGAAGAAAGAACGTATATATAGGAAGATATCTAAATCTTGCTTACTATTCAAGATTTTCCACATAAACGTTTAAGTAACGTCTAATATTCTATGATATGCGATCAAGGACGCAACTGCATAGAGATTCATTATACTAAAAGAGGATAAAGATCTTCTATGCAGATACTTTTCAAAATCTGATTCATTGTTGTAAAGTTTTACTAAATGATATCTAATTTTAATGAATAAGATCACGAGTTCATTAACCCACTAATTACGTTTTACTACTTTATTGGAAATGTATTAATTTAGGGGACGCATCACAAAATTAATTTCTTATAGGATATAAAATATATTCCGAGGCACATTCATTTTAAATATTTATTTAGAATTTTCCATAATCGTTCAGAAACAGATTAGCCATACACTGGGGATGGCCTGTAGGCTGGTGTAGGCCTATAAGCAGGTTGGTAGGCTGGGAACTGGGCCTGTCCCTGGTACTGGACATCGGCCACGTAGCCAGAGTCGCCGTCCACGAAGTAGTTCACAGTCTGCAGACGACCGTCGGGAAGCTGCACGTAGTACGACCCCTTGGTGTTGTCACCGTCGCGGGCCTCCTGGTGACCGAAGTCGTTGCCGGAGGGACCGTCGTTTACTGCCCACTGGAAGTTATAGCGAGCGGGACCCTGTCAAGGAATAACATAAAGTAAAATTTTCATACACTCACCTTTACAATCATCAGTAGTTGTTTTGAACAATTTTAGGAAGAGAGTGTATTATATTCTCATTTATGTAATATACTTCTTGTGTACCTCGTAGGCTGGCAGAGGCCTGTATGACAGGGCAGGAGAGTATCCATAGCGGGGTCCACTTGGAGCAGCAATAGCCGCAGCCACAAACATCATAGCAAAAATAACCTGAGAGATACAAAATTTCCCATATTAATAAATAAATTAGTAATGCATATCCCTCTTTTATATCCCATGTTTACATTCAAATTGTATAATGAAGAATATATACAGATTTAATCCTACTTTTATCACTATTTTTGAGAACAGATCTAACACTCCAAACACTACTCCAAGATTACTTTGTTGGATCATCTTCATATAACGTTACCTTCATTATGTTGGTGGAGATCTCGAGTGACTGAGCTGCCTTCCCAGACCGTCTCAAGCTTATATACTCATGGGTGAGCTGTGGGCGTCGCCATGAAGGTCGCGAAACGGGTATTGACCAAGGAGAGATGCAGCAAGTGGAAGGCAAGAGGAGAGGTAACTGTGGAGGGCAATAATATGTGATATGTTATCATCGAGGTTATGCTTGTGTAATCCAAGCACACGATTTGCCACCTGGCACCAAACTTTGGTTTAATTTCACACGTTTCTAATTTATAAAATTTCGAAAACCATAAAAGACTAAGATTTACAGCTGAATGTATCTTTATGAAGCTTCCAGCTTTTTAGACGTTAATAGAGTAACGAGTAATACGATATTTGTTGAGTGTTGGACTTCCAGGAGATGAGTTTCGAGCAGGAATTATGTCAGTACTGTCAGGCTTCATTAAGGTTGCATAAGGTGTTTATTATGTACATCAACTTATACGGAGGCTTTTACAGCTTCCAGTGAAGAAGTTTAAGGTATTCAGTTATATGAAGAGCATCACGGGGCTTCCAGGAGAAAAGTTAAAAGCTGAATAAATATCTGTAGAGCTCCTTGGGGGCTTCCAAGGATTTCGGAAGCACTGATACGGATTATTTTTGTTTGTTTTCTTGTCCTGAGCTATAATAAATATTAGTTTTCACTTAATAAACTTAGTAAAAAAGGAACATGCAGGCGATGAGTCACAATAACGTGGCTGAAGTATGTTGACCAATCCACACACTAGAAAATGAAGGGACAACGACGTTTTGGTCCGTCCTGGACCATTCTCAAGTCGATCGAAACGTCGTCGTCCCTTCATTTTCTAGTGTGTGGATTGGTCAATAAAAGGAACATTATTAACATGACGTAACACAATGCTTAAGTGAAACTTTACTAAAAAAATTCCCCGAAAGTTTAACAATATAATAAAGGTCAATCAATGAACTGCATTCTTCTGAAAACATTATTATTATTATTAGTTGTAGTAGTAGTATTGTAAATAATGTTTATAAATGGTATAAATATTGGGCTAACAAAAAAAATACTTCTTTTTCGTGCTTAAGAGTGTATGATCGATCAATCGCCTGTAGTTTTTAATGATATTCTTGCAATGTGACCTTCATCCGGTTGAATATTAAAAAATGAATATGCTGCACTATATAGATCTTGACTAACTCCAAATTGAAAATACTTAACTATTGTTTTAGTGTGACATTTCTAGATTGGAAATAAATCAATAATGCTCGCAACTGACCTTTCATTATATGACCCAGACTGTCCACCCAAGGGACAGAATGCTCCACTAATGCTCCAGACATCCGATGATAAGAATGTTTTAGATTAAATTTACAAAGTTGAAAAAAAATCATTTATTACGCAAAGTATCTTTCCTAGCAGCTGAAGGACAGAATTTTGACAAATGTCTTTTAACATTTTTAATGCAAATTTCTACCATACAAACTTATTAATCAAGTTACAAAAATAAAGAATTGCATAAACTGGGTTGACCATTTGAGAAGCCCTGATCTAATGGTGACCCATTGATAAGCATTGGTCTGAATGCGAATTTTGAACAGCCCTTGTCTGAAGGTGATCTTTAAGCAGCTCTATTCTGATGGTAACCCTTAAACAGTTTTGGTTTGAAGAAGACCCCTTCAGCAATCCTGGTCTGAAGAAGACCATTTCAGCAGCTCTCATCTTACGGAGACTATTTTGAGCAGGCCTAGTCTGAAAGTTACCCTTAAGCATCACAGGTCTAAAACTGACCTTTGAGCAGCCCCCGTCTTTAGGTGACCCATGAGCAGCCCTGGTGTGATGTTGACTCTTGTACAGTCCCGGTCTGAAGTTTGGCCTTGTACAGCCATTGTCTGACAGTGACCTCTGTTAAAATATCAAATATAATGTTGCCAAACTTCAAGAAAAGTATTTACAATAGATACGGAAGACTTCAGATAAAAAATTACTCTTAGTAACCTTCCTCTGTATGTAATATATACCAAATCAACACTGGCACATGTTATCACATAGCAGTTGTTTAATATGAATAAAAGTCAACATAACCCCCGAAGTAGAATTCCAAAAGTCAGTGTTTCTAGATTATTTTCAATTGATATTAAAGTCGTCCCAGAGGAAGATTAAACAATACTCCAAGACCTACACAAACTGCAATAATGAGTGGATAAATGGCCTTTGGATGTCACAACCAGTAAGTGTAATTTGATTAAAATGAACAAGGAAACCAACAGGACGGTGCACAATGAAGTGAAATCTCTATGAATTAATTAATCTAACGACCAAAGAAACGATATTGAAAGAAGTCTTATAACAGAAACAAAAATAAATAGCACAATGGCTAACTTCAAATCAGTGAACATCAGAAGAACCTTAACGAAATTCAATTAGGTGGCACTGGGACCACTGAACATCATATACGTCAGACGAAGATAATCACGCGAGACGAAGAAACAACGTATATATAGAAAGATATCTAAATCTTGCTTTCTAGTCAAGCTTTTCCACATAAACGTTTAAGTAACGTCTAATATTCTATGATATGCGATCAAGGACGCAACTGCATAGAGATTCATTATACTAAAAGAGGATATAGATCTTCTATGCAGATACTTTTCAAAATCTGATTCATTGTTATAAAGTTTTACTAAATGATATCTAATTTTAATGAATAAGATCACGAGTTCATTAACTCACAAATTACGTTTTTTCTACTTTATTGGAAACGTATTAATTTGGAGGACGCGTCATAAAATTTATTTCTTATAGGATATAAAATATATTCCGAGGCACATTCATTTTAAATATTTATTTAGAATTTTCCATGATCGTTCAGAAGCAGTTTAGCCATACACTGGGGATGGACTGTAGGCTGGTGTAGGCCTATAGACAGGCTGGTAGGCGGGGAACCGGGCCTCTCCCTGGTACTGGACATCAGCTACGTAGCCAGAGTCGCCGTCCACGAAGTAGTTGACAGTCTGCAGACGACCGTCGGGAAGCTGCACGTAGTACGACCCCTTGGTGTTGTCACCGTCGCGGGCCTCCTGGTGACCGAAGTCGTTGCCGGAGGGACCGTCGTTTACTGCCCACTGGAAGTTATAGCGAGCGGGACCCTGCAGAAGGACAAATATTTTATGACGCATAAATTATTATAGGTACAAAATTTATTTTTGATTGTGTTCTATATACTCGTATGTTAAAACAGGGATTGCAGTTCTCTCTACCTCATAGTATGGAGCTGGCCTGTAGGCAGGAGCTGGGGAGTAGCCAAAGTGTGGTCCAGACGGAGCAGCCATACTGCACGCCACCAGTACCAGAGCGAAAAGTACCTGTGTGTAGGATATATTAAATGATTTTTTCCTGCCAATGTAATGATTGCCAAGAATTACTTTCACACTTTTCAAGCCGGTAGAGACATTCAAACTTAAATCTTCCTGACTGAGACAGTATTTTGTGTCTATTGGTTTCGTCCACGATAATATCTGTCATGAATATATATTGAAGCCATGCAATCGAACCAAATTAAGTACACACTACCGACTGGATCGGAGGTGGTCAGGTACATGGTTTCGATCCCAATATACAACAGCAGTATTTATGTATAAATTCCTCATACTATTATAATTTCATTGTGCATGTCTGTTTAGGAAATTGCCATCCAGCTTGTTGGTGCATGCGTGATGGTCCTGTATGTAGTGCGAGTGAGTGAGGAGTCCAGAGGAGAGGGTTCGATCCCATTGTACTGCAATAATTTTTTGGAATATTTATGCATGAATTCTACTGTGATGAAAGCCTTTGTTATATACTTGAGCAAAAATAATATGTGAGCAATCTTTATTTTCAATGATTTTATTAATTTTACGTCCTTTATTAATTTATTAATTAATGTGTGCTCACATATTAATAATATGTGAGCACTCTTTATTTTCAATTTATTTTTCAATGCTCATAAGAGATATTTAACAACAATTCCCGTCGAAAGTTAGAAAAATTCTCATCAAATGTGAGAAGAATTCTCAACGAATTTGGAAATAATTTTCATTGAGTTTTGATATGAATTTTCACCGAATTTAAGAACAATTCTCATCGAATACGAGAACAGTGTGAACGGCTCGTCAGTCATAGTTCACTCATGCTTAAGGCGTTGTTAAGAAGAGCTAATTAGCATAAGTAAGAAGAGTTTCAAAGAAGCTTTACCTTCATCTTGTTGAGGATGTTCAAGAGAGAATGGTGCCCTCTGTGAGATTCCGTGAACTTATATACTCACCTGGGTATGCTGGGCGGGGCACTATCAAGGCCACGAGAACTGGGCATTGAAAAGGAAGACAGCAGAAAATTGGCAGGTGAAGGTAATTTATGTAGCATGCGTGGGTGGAGGGTACTCGCAGGTGTGGGTGGACGGGCACGTGTAGGTGTGGGTGGAGGGTACTCGTAGGTGTGGGTGGACGGGCACGTGTAGGTGTGGGTGGAGGGTACTCGTAGGTGTGGGTGGACGGGCACGTGTAGGTGTGGGTGGAGGGTACTCGTAGGTGTGGGTGGACGGGCACGTGTAGGTGTGGGTGGAGGGTACTCGTAGGTGTGGGTGGAGGGTACTCGTAGGTGTGGGTGGAGGGTACTCGTAGGTGTGGGTGGAGGGTACTCGTAGGTGTGGGTGGAGGGTACTCGTAGGTGTGGGTGGAGGGTACTTGTTGGTGTGGGTGGAGGGTACTCGTAGGTGTGGGTGGACGGGCACGTGTAGGTGTGGGTGGAGGGTACGTAGGGTATTGCATAGAAATCATATGGAATTCTTTTTTTGGAACTACCTCGTCTGTGTCGTTCTCCAAGTGCAAGGTTCATTGCAACACTGAGGTAGATTTGATATGCTGTTCTTCCCGAACGTATGGAAAGTGTTCTTCTAAGATCATGGGCTGTGTTGTATTTGTAAGTTCTAATTCATTCTCTTCTTTCTTGAGTGTTATATTTTACTGTGCAGACGATGAGTCACAATAACGTGGCTGAAGTATGTTGACCAGACCACACACTAGAAGTTGAAGAGACGACGACGTTTCGGTCCGTCCTGGACCATTCTCAAGTCGATTGTGAATTATATTTTACTGTGATATTTTTCTAAGTTTTTGTCTATTACCTCCTCCTCCTCCTCCTCCTCCTCCTCCTCCTCCTCCTCCTCCTCCTCCTCCTCCTCCTCCTCCTCCTCTTCCTCCTCCTCTTCCTCCTCCTCCTCCTCCTCCTCCTCCTCCTCTTCCTCCTCCTCCTCCTCCTCCTCCTCTTCCTCCTCCTCCTCCTCCAGTGTTATCAACGTAAAGTCTCTCCGAGCCCGTCCATCAGTGCCACCAATGTTCTAATATTTTCCCCGCTCATCCCGGCTGGGGCTGTGTTGACCACGTTTGCTTTGTGCAGTATCATGGACGATCATGATGGCCAGCAAAAAGTTGCTGTGGTGCTTCTCCCTCGTGTCGACCAGGTCTTCTCCAGGCACACTTGCACCTCTATCTGGTGGCCTTCCTTGGGTCTGGGTCCGCTCCTAAGTCGATTACGTCTTCAGATGATACACTCTCACTTGCACTCTTTCTAGTAGTTTTACTAGGGTCTTGTTCCACTTTTCTTGGTGAGAGTATGTTGAGTGCTTTTGCATTCTCTGGCTGCAGTTGTTCCTCATTGTGACGTAAGGTATACTCGATCCCCCAATGCCTGTGTAAACGGTTGGTAAACTTACTGATCGTGGCCATGTAGATTGTTTCTGTGAAGTATAATTAAGGTAAACTTACCAATGTCACATTTAAGGTATAATTACATTGACTTTGAAGCTAGATATACTACGGCACTAGGAAGAACCTTGTTGCGTTTGTATGTTGTTTTCTTCTACTACCCACCCTCTCCTTCCCCCTCCCACCCTTCTCACATTTTTGGCATTTTTTTACCAATTTTATTATATACAATTGGTTACAGTATTGGTTATATAGAAGGCACACAGTTAATTGTCACAAATTACAGAGCTCCTCAAACTCTTCGGATGCTGTGAAGTGTACATATCCTCTTTAGATTGCCACACTGAGGAGCTGGAAATGATTGCTGGCAGCTCTTGGGTCTCTTCATATTTTAATGAGCCTAGAACCCTGATCGTATAGAAAACTTGTTTCACATTTACCTTTAGGAACCAAGTCTCTCTGTCTGTCTGTCTGTCTGTCTGTCTGTCTGTCTGTCTGTCTGTCTGTCTGTCTGTCTGTCTGTCTGTCTTTCTGTCTCTCTCTGTGTCTCTCTCTCTGTCTCTCTCTCTGTGTCTCTCTCTCTTCTCTCTCTCTCTCTCTCTCTCTCTCTCTCTCTCTCTCTCTCTCTCTCTCTCTCCTCTCTCTCTCTCTCTCTCTCTCTCTCTCTCTCTCTCTCTCTCTCTCTCTCTCTCTCTCTCTCTGCTTTCTCTCTGTCTGACTAGTATGAAATCCAGGGGAAAAACAGGTTCGTGACTGGAAATCATTATCATAACTTACTGCCCACTTTCCCGAGAGACAGAATGGCAAACCATACAAAAAAAAATCAGATCACTTTGTGACAAATAAAGTTGTTACACCAGCGACTCTACATCACAGTCGCCCAGAGCGTGTGGGAACCCGACATCAATAATTATTTCGAAATAATACCTAAAATATATAATTAGTAGTTTAGCAATGATTATAGATCAGCCCATAAATGGCAAATATATAATAATTGTGATATATTAATAATATAGTATATATATATATATATATATATATATATATATATATATATATATATATATATATATATATATATATATATATATATATATATATATATATATATATATATATATATATATATATATATATATATATATATATATATATATATATATATATATATATATATATATATATATATACTTCCCGTCCTGTGCTCAACTAGACGTCACCAGCTAACAAATATCTCTTCTCAGGGGAGAAAATTTGTTGGACATTAATATAAGCGGAAAGGCATGCGGTAAGACGGATATCGCTAAATAAATCACCGATAAAGGAGATCCACCACAGTCCATCGCAAGTAAACAACCCTTCCAAGACAAATTAGCGTTAAACGACGTTGTTCCAACCCCAGCCGGCACAATATCCTACCGTAACGTTACCTCAACGTTGAAAGAACGTTATAATTGGATACTTTCCGACGTTACGGGGCTTAAATGTTTCTCCAGCATGTTTCGCCTCGGGGGAAGCTTGGCGTAGTAACGGCGCTAACCGCACGTTGCATCAGCACACTGTAACTGGGGTGTACTGCCGAGGATGAGCTAGTTCCCAGTGATACCTTAACGATCACACCACGTGAGGTACGCCGGGGCACTTGCGTACCTCTTTTGGTCACAGCTGGTACACATATGGGGCAACTGTCACTCTCACGGTGCCATTACGGTGTCGTTACGTACAAATTTAACCTCTGTTAAATTACTGGTGTTAATGACACCAAATAATATCCAATAAATGTAATCTATCATAACTACACCTGACTACCCTGTGACATAACAATACACAACAGAAGAACACTCCCATCATGTACTAATAAACTTAAAATAATTAAGTTTGATTGCAATAAAATAATAGTACTTAGGTAATCATAATTACACTAAAAATATCCAATGATAATATAAAGAGAACAAACAACTATGTTAAAAACAGAACAAGCAACCGTTTTAAAAACAGAACAAGGAACCGTTTTAAAAACAGAACAGGCAACCGTTTTAAAAACAGAACAAGCAACCGTTTTAAAAACAGAACAAGCAACCGTTTTAAAAACAGAACAAGCAACCGTTTTAAAAACAGAACAGGCAACCGTTTTAAAAACAGAACAGGCAACCGTTTTAAAAACAGAACAAGGAACCGTTTTAAAAACAGAACAAGCAACCGTTTTAAAAACAGAACAGGCAACCGTTTTAAAAACAGAACAAGCAACCGTTTTAAAAACAGAACAAGCAACCGTTTTAAAAACAGAACAAGCAACCGTTTTAAAAACAGAACAGGCAACCGTTTTAAAAACAGAACAAGCAACCGTTTTAAAAACAGAACAAGCAACCGTTTTAAAAACAGAACAAGCAACCGTTTTAAAAACAGAACAGGCAACCGTTTTAAAAACAGAACAAGCAACCGTTTTAAAAACAGAACAAGCAACCGTTTTAAAAACAGAACAAGCAACCGTTTTAAAAACAGAACAGGCAACCGTTTTAAAAACAGAACAAGGAACCGTATTAAAAACAGAACAGGCAACCGTTTTAAAAACAGAACAAGCAACCGTATTAAAAACAGAACAAGCAACCGTTTTAAAAACAGAACAAGGAACCGTATTAAAAACAGAACAAGCAACCGTTTTAAAAACAGAACAAGCAACCGTTTTAAAAACAGAACAAGCAACCGTTTTAAAAACAGAACAAGGAACCGTATTAAAAACAGAACAAGCAACCGTTTTAAAAACAGAACAAGGAACCGTATTAAAAACAGAACAAGCAACCGTTTTAAAAACAGAACAAGCAACCGTTTTAAAAACAGAACAAGCAACCGTTTTAAAAACAGAACAAGCAACCGTTTTAAAAACAGAACAAGCAACCGTTTTAAAAACAGAACAAGCAACCGTTTTAAAAACAGAACAAGCAACCGTATTAAAAACAGAACAAGCAACCGTTTTAAAAACAGAACAAGCAACCGTTTTAAAAACAGAACAAGGAACCGTATTAAAAACAGAACAAGCAACCGTATTAAAAACAGAACAAGCAACCGTATTAAAAACAGAACAAGCAACCGTATTTAGAACATATACAGTAATAGCCACCATAATATTAATTACAAGGTGTACGTGAAGGAGAGATGACGTAGTGAGATAGTGACACGACTCTGACGTCTGGTATTGTGTACCTGTCAGCACACAGAGGCAATTGCATCTATGTAAGTGTAGGTGTTAATGAGGCTTTGCTGATTGAGCTTTCAGTGGCTCTTGTAGTGGCTAGTGATAAAGTGTATTGGAACTGGGGCTGTGTTGATGGTCGTAACGATTGTAGGGTATTATTGTGATGTTGCATTGTTGATTCAGTGTTGATATGGTTGTATAACTATTAACTGCCTGCACGATCACTGGCAGCTTATTCCACCACACCACAGGTCGTCCAACACACCACAGGTCGTCCACCACACCACAGGCCGCCCACCACACCACAGGCCGCCCACCACACCACAGGCCGCCCAACACACCACAGGCCGCCCACCACACCACAGGCCGCCCACCACACCACAGGCCGCCCACCACACCACAGGTCATATCACAGGCTGGCACTCCCATCACGACCTGGTGTGACCAGCATCCCGGAGCAAATGCTGGAGCTGGGTCACTAATCTTGACCTTGGCCTGGATACTCGTGCTTCCACCCTCTACCATCACCATCCCCCCTCGTCACCATCACCCTTCCCCCTCGTCACCATCACCACCACCAGCATCAACACCACCACCATCACTATCATTACTACCAACGTCACCCCTACCATCTCACCACCACCATCACCATCACTACCGTCACCACCAGCTGGTTACTTCACCATTCACCAGGCATGGGTGTCACCATCCATCACACGCGGCACCGCCCATCTCACGGGTGTCAAGGCCAGCACGGTATGGGTAATCTCTCTATATACTCTGTATTATATATCAACTTTTCCCTACCAACCACTTGGACTGCTTGGTAGAGCAACGGTCTAGCTTCTTGCAGGTCGGCGTTCGCCTCCCAATGGTCCAAGTGATTGGACACCGTTCTTTTTTCTCGGTTCTCGTATCCCAGCTCCTTGTCCTCGTATCCCAACTCCTTATCTTCATATCCATGATCCTTGTCTTCATATCCCAGCTCCTTGTCTTCATATCCCAGCTCCTTGTCTTCATATCCCAGCTCCTTGTTTTCATATAATAGCTTCTCCTCATATCCCAGCTCTTTGTCCTCATATCCCGGTTCCTTGTCCTCATATCCCATCTCCTTGTCCTCATATCCTAGCTTCTTGTCCTCATAACCCTTCCAAGTGTTATATTGTCACACTGGCTGAACGCTTTCTCCTCATAAATACCTTAACTTACCTCTCTCTCTTCCCACCTCAACTATAAACAATATTTTTGTCTTTCATCAATGGTAATCATTGAATATCATTGACAGGGAATGACAGGTAGTCTCTGCTTATTATGTCAATCATTATATACAAGCACTGACGACTGTTGACTACCTCAGGTGTCGAGTATTTTCTCATCTTGATCACTGTAACCTTCGACAGACTCCAGTAATGACGGATTTCCTCGTGTTTCATGTTTAGTAAATATTGAAGGAACTCATGTACTTAGCGCTTTTGGCTCGTATACAGCTGTGATCTCCACGCTATCTCTTTAGCGCCAGTCTCTTCCTCCCGGTAGAGGATGGAACTGTGTGGAATTTCGGCCTGCACTTCCCGGTAGTGGAGGACATACTCCAGAGACCCGGTCTGTCCTTTCCAGTAGTGGAAGACATACTCCAGAGACCTGGTCTGTCCCTTCCGGTAGTGGAAGACATTCTCCAGAGACCCAGTCTGTCCCTTCCAGTAGTGGAAGACATACTCCAGAGACCCGGTCTGTCCCTTCCAGTAGTGGAAGACATACTCCAGAGACCTGGTCTGTCCCTTCCGGTAGTGGAAGACATACTCCAGAGACCCGGTCTGTCCCTTCCAGT